TATCTACTGCGGGTCAATTGGTTCCAATTTTTCCGGATAAATGACCCACCAAAGCAAAAACTTTTGGTCCATTCCTCAAGGATCATGAGGTACTGCTTTAAAGTCATATAAAAGAATAATCATGCATTCAAACCTTATCAATTGGCATTTCTGAGTCAAAGAAAAAGATAAGAGAATCGAGTTTTAAAAAAAAAAAAAAAAAAAAAAAAAAAATTTCAAAATGAAATACCGGACCAAATATTTGAATTTACATGACTAAAATTGGAATCCGTTTCTCTTCTTATTTTTTTTAATAATAATAACAACAACAACAACGGCAACAACAACAACAGTAGTAGTAGTAGTTCGTGCTACACTTTGTTTACAAACTGTCCAACACTGGAAGATTACTTGAATATTTATTATACATAAAAAAGAAGTTGGCATTTGTTTTAGCGATGAAAGATTATTTCATTTTTAGAAAATATATTTATCCATTCTTTAGGGCTGCATGCTTGAATGCCACGTTGGGATCTTTTAATCGCATCTTTGAAGAAGGAAAAAAAAGGGTTTTTGACAATTATAAGCCATAAGTTATCACGTTAAATTAAATATCACGTTTGATTGTTTGAATATCTTGAAAAAAAAACATTCTTCTAATAATCTAATATATACATAATTATTTACTAAGTTTAATTTAGGGCAGTGCAAGGGCGTAGTATCAAGACACCCAGGGCTAATTGATCTTTGAAAATAACGTGTTAATCTTTGCTCCAAGGAGGGCGATGCTCTACACATGCTTCTGCATCCATGCATAAATATGTACATACATATGCAGATCATGCCTGCTTATGATATTGGTAATTAAAATACAAAAGGAAAAAAACAATTACATTACGCTATTCCGATTCGTCTGTCAAAAGGACTTCATCATGTTAATAACGGCTTTATCGGTGGATATACGGGGTATAAGAGCAAAATTAACCATCCCACAAAATGTTTAATATCTAAAAAATTACTAAACTGAGTTTCTTTTTTCCATGTTTTCATATAAGACGTTTAGCCAACTTGACACCATTTGTCGTAAGAATCACTGAAAAATTCTTTGAGTTATATGGCTAAAGAGAGCCGGTTAAAATTGTTTTGTGCCAGACCCACTGTCTTCCCAACTGAGCAATGGCGAGAAGAATAATATCATTCAGGCCTTTAGTAATGGCACCAAGAATCATACTCTGGTATAATGTTCATGGCGTCTCCCACAAATGGGAAGACGCGGATCTTCTAAGCGAGCTTATATTGTAGTCACTGAAATGAAGAAATGAAAAAGAGAACGAGGCAAGAAGTCGCCCAGTATTTATAGTATAGGGAGAGTGACCCCTAGTGACAATTTGGGAATTAAGGAGGAGCTAACTCCAACAAGATCAATTAGAAAAGATCCAAATCAATTTATGAGAGGTTTGGCACGTGAGAGAGGAGTTTCAGCTATGACAATCCAAAGAGCAGTGCAAAAAAAGACTTGAAAATGTAATCCCACTTGAAACTTGTGTGGCACTCTGTTACTCCAGGACAGAATGTTAGAAGGTTAGAGAGGTCGAAGATCATCTTGAATAAGTTGGAAAATTATCCTGAAATATATATATATATATATATATATATATATATTTGAATTTTATTTCAATACTTCACGAGATTCCGATCCTTTGCTATGATTAAGTAATGATGAACATGTCAATTTCGTTTATGATCGATTTCATCATGATACTTTTGTCAAGCTTAGCGAATAATTATTCATTCTTATTGCTCAGAGTTCAATAATATTATGAAAACCTCGGAGAATTTCAGTAAGATACTTTCTAAGATAAAATAGCTCCGAGCTTAATCTAACAATTGGAGAATTACACAATTTGTACAATTTTTCTGTTACATATATATATATATATATATATTAAAAACGATAGACAAGGTACTACGATTAGGCTTTTCATTTGATTTTTCTTGTGTTCGAACAAGTGCTTTCATTTTTGGACACAGAGTGTGTAGAAACTGTCTAACTAAATGTTCTATAATTCCGAGCGCTTTCGGCTATACTTTTACTTGTGGTCAGATAGGTGTGTAACGTAAGGTGTCTGGATAGACGTTACACCTATCTGACCATAGCTCTATTAGAACCCATTTAAACACAAACTTACCAGACTCCATCTGAAACATACTAGAAAACGCAAACATAATGTTATCCACCTGTAAAAACAGATTAAAAATAATGGAAGCTTTAATAATAAAAAAAGAAAAAGCCAACACTACGAACAAAGCCACAATGTGCTGTGTTCGGAAAATAAAACATCCCTATAACACTAAAAAAAGTACACATAATGCACACACTCAATTAAACTGAAAAAATAAAATCATCCTTGATAATGGCTAGCCGAAAGCGCTCGGAATTATAGAATATTTGAACAGTTTTTACACACCCTGTGTCCAAAAAAGAAAACACTCGGTCGAACACAAGAAAAATTAAATAAAAAGCTTATTCGTAGTACCTTGTCTGTCTTTTTAAAATGAAATATGCATAAATGAAGAATTGCTGTCTAAAATCGCAATATATATATATATATATATATATATATATATATATATATATATATATATATATATATATATATATATATTATTATTATTATTATTATTATTATTATTTAGGTACCTCCAAAGCAAAGTGATACCTAAGGTTTAAAATGCAATATATAAAATAAAAAATAAAAATCTTTCTTAAAATTTTTATTTTAGTTTTAATCTCAAGCTAATAAACTAAATTTAATATTTCCAATAACTGAAATACTTTGTATTTCAAAACTAAAATTGAATAGAAGGAGTTTATTCTTTGAAATCGCTAAAAATCGCACTCTTTTTTTTTGCCATCTGTCATCACAATGCAATTCTCTTTTATAAAAAAAATCTTTCAAAAATAAAATATACTTTTCTGAAACAAATTACGGAAAAGCATTTTCAACACGGAGATGGGTGTTTTTATGATGCGTTTGACAACTATCTCGATAGACTTATGTTTTTAATTTCAATGTCCACTTCTTAAACGGAAAGATTTATCATTTGAACATTCTTCGCATTATTTGTCCTGTTAAACAAGTTAAAAAAAAAAAGACATGAAATTTAAATAAACAATTAACAAATGTATCAGCATAATAAGAAAAAAAAGGAACTTTATCGTTATTGATAGTTTAACACCATCTTCAGTTGATGTCTATGGAATACTTTCATGTCGCCTGCTATAGTGGGGGGGGGAGAGAGATTGCCGTTCCAAAGTCAAAAAGGAAAAGATCCCGCCAATTATTGTCATCTGCTGAAACTTTCACACAAAGAAAAATTTAAATGGATCTTAGTAAAGAATAAATTTTATTCGGGTCTCTCACGAAGGGAATAATTTAATGTGCAAATTCTTACTCGCGGCCTCAACAGCTTAAAATCGCCCCATTCAAAACATTGACGACGGGCATGGTTTTTGCAGTGGCTGAGGCAATTGAAAAATTTAAAAAAAAAAAAGAACTTGATGAATTTTTAATATGGGCCTGGAGTTGGCCCAAGGAAAATAATTGGGCTTTGAAAATTTATTCTCCCCCACTGTTATAAAATTATAAAAACACTAAACTGCTTTACATTATTTTTAAAGGCAAATAATTCAGAAATTATTTAAATAAAAGCTGATAGACACCAACAGCAGTGTAGTCATTAGTCATGATTTATATTTTCTATGCATTTTGCTTTTGTAAAGAAAATAAATTTTCTGTTACATGGAATTTCTACGTTTGCTTATGTGGTCCTGATATTTTTTGGACACTAATGGACCACAAGGAAGAAAACGTTGAGAAACGCTGCTCTAGAAGGACTTTATAGCGGACTGGGGGGGGGGGTTACGTGCTGTTAAATTAGGAAGATGTTTCTTGCTAGAAGAAAGTCCACTTCAAGAACATGGCGGTCTCAGAGATTGAATCCACCATGAAGAAGTTTAAAGAAAACCAACAAGACCGATATATATCAGCAAATATATGTATTAAAGAACAAAATTTACAATGGACATAGACATTAACATTTGTGTTTGTGTGTGAACGTAAAGAGTTTGTATTTTGGTGAATGTTCGTACGTACGTGTATGTGTTTATAATGTTCATGGCATCTCCTACAAATGGGAAGACGCAATCTTCTGCAAGAGCTTACATTGTAGATGTGTTCTCTGATGAATGAAGAAATGAAAGAGAACGAGGCAAGAAATCGTCCAGTATTTATAGTGTAGGGAGAGCGTGCCCTAGTGAACAATTAGGAAATTAAGGAGGAGATAACTCCGATAAAATTTATCGGACTAAACTTTAGTCACTAAATTAATGTTTTTATTATATATAGTGGGGATATAAACACGGGCATCGATTATAATTTATAATTATGTACTGACAGGAAATGCTGAAGATGTTGAAACACTGGTAGGTCGTGTAATGTATCCAGTTTCGTTAAGTTTGCTTGCATTGTTCATTCTTTTGACAAATTTGATGACCTTTCTGTTTAGTGTTGAATAGAAAATAATTATGGAAATGAGCAGATTGAAAAATCTAAAAACAAAGTGAAACTCTTCTTGATCCAATCGATAATCTGAATTTTTGTTAATAAAAAATCATTATTAAAAGTGAAAAAACATTGGTTTGTGAAGTGTTGGAAAATTTTTATGATTTTATCTGTTACTAGGTACAGGTTTATTTTTGATTGAACATCTTTTTTTTTTTTAAATTTAAGCATTTATTAACAAGAATCTTGGTGTTCAACAGGATTCAATATCTAAACTTGCCATGAGTTTATCTGTCATATTTATTCAACTTAGGTTCTTTGACCAGGTTACCTGAATTTTTAATATGTGAAAGGTAAGAAATAATCCCTTGAAATAATCCACCCTTTGCAGATTGGAGAATGCAAAATATTTTCAACAGGGGAATCTCCCATTTATCTGCCTTACAACCACTTGATGTTAAAACACTGGTTCTTTTACAATCACTGAAGTTAAGCAACATTGTGCTTGGTCAGTACCTAGATGAGTGACTGTTTGGGAATGCCAGGTGCTGTAAACTTACATGTGCAGGTGGAATAATAGATAATGGTTTGGAATTGTTAATCAGAGAGCAGAGTTCAAATTCCAGTTGGGTTCATTATAGCACAGTGGAGTAATGTATAGCGGCTCAGACCGAGAAATCGGAGAGCTGAGTTTGAATTAAAGTTGAATCCATTACATTCACTTACGTGTTAATAATGTTGGGAAAGGTATGAATCCTCTTCTCCCCCCAGCTATAGATGAAATAGCAGGACAGACTGGGTTCTATAGCCTTGGATGGCAACTGGTCTATTGCAGAAAGAAATGGCAACCTACTTCAGGAAAAAATCTACCTCATCAGTCAAAAGTATGTATCAAAAGATACATGATCAGCTAAGCGTGTATCACGCATGGCACATAACTGATTGATAATCACTTACATGAAAACATTGTAGGCAAAAGGTATAAATCCACCTCTTCTCCTCCTGGCTATGGGTTAATTAGTAAGACTTGTATCAGTAAATAATTATTATCTCAAATAAAAAAAAAAAAAAATTCTTCCACTCTAAAAATATTTTCTTCCACTAAATAATGTCCAAAGCGTTGAGAAACGATAAAAAATGAATGAACAAATCATTCCCATCCACCTGGTAATTACCATTATACCTCTTTTGATGTCTGATAATTCATGTTGCCTGGCTAGGAATAACCTGGCAGATGTTCACATTGGTTTACCAAAGTATAACTGATATAGGTCTGGGCATTTCCATGACGTCAAAGTATGGTGGTGCCACCTACCATTACATATTTCTATTGCATGACTTTTCATGTTTTCTATTCAGAAATTTATTAAATTATATATATATATATATATATATATATATAAAAGTATATAATTGGTATACACGGAATGAATTCCAAAAAAAACCAACAATTACTATTCTTAAAAGAGTGCTCAATACAGTAAAGTAGATATAATTTTATATAATTATTTTATAAAAAAATTTATAACATAGTTATATTATAAATTATCACTGAAAAAAAATAATTTGTTTTCAACACCATCACTTGATAAGACACAGAGTGTGTTGAAACAAAATGGCTATTTTTGTAGTGATTTTATAACATACTTATGTTATAAATTTTTTATAAAATAATTATATATATATATATATATATATATATATATATATATATATATATATATAAACTCACCAAACCAATACATTAGTGAATCATGGGGCATATTATAATGCAGACAGTCATTTCACTCCTGAAGTAGGAATATTTAGAGATTTACCTATCTGCTTAATAATGTAATCGTGATTAATTTTTTTTTTTTTTTTTATTTTAAAAATTTCCATCAATAAATTCAATTTAAGCTCTTATTTTAATTGAATGAAATCAAAGAGAAAATATAACAGAACAAATTTCATTTTTTATCAAATCAATTATTTTATTAGCGTCTTCCAAAAAAAATAGACATTTAAAAAAAAAAAAAAAAAAAAATGGCTGGACCAGATTTTTAAAACAAGATAACTTATTAAAACAATTCTATGTAAAAAAAAAAAAAAAAAAAAAAGAACGAATGAAAAAAAAGAAATAGGATATGGGTTTAATATATTGAACACAAGATCGATTAAAAGCAACAATAAAAACAATACGGTTAAATATTGACATTTTAATACATTTTTTTGTTTTTCTACAAAGTGGAATAAATGGCAAATATCTTGGAGACAACTTACCCTGCCAAATAAACAATGCATCTCACATCTTTTTGATGTCATTGGTGTTGTAAATGTTTTAATTAAATTTTGAGGGCAACAATTTTACAAACTCAAAGAAAGCTTATGAACAATCAATTTACATATCACAAAGTATGATCGCATTCAGAAGCTGACTTGGACTAATATCCTCATATTTATTTTAACAAACAGCTATAAAGTAAATTGCTTTAGGCTTATTATTCTATCAATGGATTGATTTCAGACATTGAAATAGTAAAATATTTGTCCACATAAAACAGTAACAACCTGAAATAATGTTTATTATTAATAGTGATAAAAAGATTATTAGTCATAACAAAAAAAAAATAATAAAATAGGTTTAAATTGAAATAAAAGCAAATGGCAGATGACATACGTATGACAACCAGACTACATTCTTTTCTCTATGTGCTTAATATGCAAAATGTATTTGTATACCTTTTGTCAGTAACTTTGTGCTGTGGATGTCAAATGTTAGGGTCTTCACTATAATAATGATTGTTCAAAGGTGTTTATGAAGCTATGAGTTAAAAAAGACTGATTCCATGAAAAAATAAAAACAATTAGAAAACCAAATATGAAGACATGTGAAAACCTAATAGTAGGGAAGAACATCTCTCTCGTATATACTGATATATTTTGTTAGCTCCAATAAACTAGAACACATTACTATAGTTTGGTTTAGTTATATTCCAGGTGTCTCATCATAAGCCAGGATACTGATAAAATCAACTACTTATCAATACTGAAGGAAATCGAACAAAGATGATATTAATCTTAAAAAACAATAACAATTCAAAAATTGGTATTTTATCAAAAAGGCACACAATGTAATTTTTGTAACTGATTTAGAAACATGGAAACAAATGCTAAAAAAAAAATTTAAGGAAAAAAAAAAAAATCAATAAGGAAAAATGAAACCATTGTGAGCATTAATTTTCTGACTCGTTTTTCTTGGTACTTTCTTTGTCTCCAAGACTTTCCTGTTATCATTCATTATTGTCTACTAGGAGCAAAGACAAACGTTTTTGATTAGAAAATGGGATAAATATGAAGGCATTATTTTGAGCAACTGAATTGGGGGTGCTCTTGGTTTTATAAGCAAAACATTTGTGAATCAGACTTTTCAGAAGAAAAAGTCAAGCACTTCACAAATTCTTATGAAAGGCAAATTGTGAAATTTGTTACATTGCAAAGGCAGAGAAAATATTTTTCCTGGTGAATCCACTTATTTTTTTTATTTTTTTTTTTTTAAATGTTTTTTCTTGTGCAAAAGTTCTATCCCAAGGAAACTCAAAATTAAACTTCCTGAAGAAGATTAGAAAATAACAAACGAAACATTTCCTCCTTTTAAGGCAGCATCTAAATAAATTAATAAAACAAAACTGAAGATAAAAAAGAAGCTTGAAAAGTTAAGCAAAACACAATGGTAAAATTCTAATGAATTATTTAAAGATCAGTAAATAATTTATTCAATTTTAACCATTATAGCACATTAAGGTCAGATAAGTTGTTTATTAATCACATATTCAATGTCCTGAACTGCTATAATCTCCTGCTATATCAGGAAGCTGATAAGTCTTAACCCTTGTCCAACTGTGACTGAAAACTAGTCAGAGATAATAGCAATATATTCATTACAGAATTCAGAATTATCAGATATGATAGCAATATTCATTACAGGGTTTAGAATCTTAATATTCGCAATAAAATAAAAAGAAGTGTAGCTAATTTTTATTTAAATGTCCAGTTAAATATCCAAATGAGACATTTCACTAGTTGTTGGCAACAGCAAGAATTGAGAAAATTTAGCACAATCTTTAATATAGGCAAGAGACAAAATTTTATTTTTGACTTGGCTAATCCAAGATCTAAATATCTCCAAAACAGATTTGCTATGGACATGTTACCAGCAGGAAAACATTGGACATCAAAGGAATTGCTTTTGCATATCACTTGTTTGATCCCCAAGAATAGGGAAAATGAAAGAAGATTTGAAAAATATCATTACTGACTTTTCAAGTTAGAAAGACTATAAAAAGGTGTGATTAAAACAACTCTTAACAAGATTGCGGATGATTTGAAAAAATTTTGCAGTTAACATCCTAGAATTGTTAGTGTTTATATTTTTTGTATAAAACAAAAAATAAATTTAATAAATTTTGTTTTCATTTCCATAAATATTACACAATGGTAGATGTGTGCATTTAACAATATAGATCTGCAGATCATTGTTAGGGGAAGGAGTGCTCAACTATTATAATCTTGTGCCAGACTAAGCTAAGCTTCGTAAATATTTAAAAAAAAACAAACAAACAAAAAAAAAAAAAAAAAAAACAACGCTAACTTTTCTATATAGTGTATAGAATTTTAACTTTTCAATTTTGAGTTAAGTCAAACTCATTCTTGATTTTTTTTTTAACAAAAATCTGCTGAACAATAACGTTTGCAATTTATTTAACTAATATCTTCATTTTTCTTATATTTTCTTATATTATTTCTCTTAGGACAATAAATTATGTAGCCATCTTTAAACATGGCACCTACTTAGTAAACTTTAAACAGTACTGCCATTTTGTAAAGCATTAAAACTTGCTTAAGAGGAGGAGTAGAATGGTGCTGATTGAAAGAATTAATAAAATCAGATTTTTATTCTTCTATTTCTAGTGTCACAGAATTTGGAAAAAAATGATTTTTCATTATTTTCTAATGACTTCTTTGATTTATGTGGCACAAGAATAATTTATGTACTTAAACGGAAAGAAAATTCACCATCATTATTTCCTCTATTGTGATGAATAGAATATTGGAATAACTAAAAATAAACAAATTCATCTGAATAAATGAAAGCCATAAACAAAAAGAAATAAATGGAGAAAATTGCTTTAAAATTTTTCAGCAGTTAGAATATTTAGCAAATTCAATATATTTCTCAGTTTTCTCATCGATACTTTTATACAAATCGATTTATTTTGACCCTCATTTATGAGGGAAAACAGAAATAAATTTTAATACAAAATATTAAATTTGAATGTAGAAATATAAAAAGATCCGACCAATACAAAGGGAGAAAAACGAGTATTTTTCTTTCGAGACAAGGGGAGACAACTATGAATAATCTCATCTGTAATCAGTTCATAAATTTAATGGCAACTATTTTACCAGTTGAAATTTATTTTTTATCTTAAATTTCATATCAAATAAATAATGAGATTTCTTCTGAGCAATTTGAGATAAATGGGGTTTTACAAATATTGCACTACATTGAAGTGTACGTGCACAAAAAAAAACATATGGGAGTTTTGTTGCAATTTTCTTAAAATGCAGAATATTTTTTTAGTTTAGCAGAATGTAACTAAGTGCACACCGAGTAAGAAATTAGTTTCTCTGGATGGCAATTATTTATGTCAATGTTTAGTAAATTCATGTCTAAGGAAGAATATTCACACACCAACACTGTTTTTTTCTTTGTCAGATCAACAGGAGCCTTGATGGATGAAGTGAAATTAATATTTGATGGGAATTGCATTAAAATCTTTGTTACAACTTCAATTGTTTTCTTTTCAAGAATTTTTTATTTTTTACTATGTGTTGAATGTTGATTTTTTTTAAGGTATGACAGATTATTTTTTAGAAAACCAAAAAAAAAGAAAAAAAGAAAAGAAGAAGCTACTTAAAAAGAAAAAAAATTTCAATTAATATTTTGTTATTTATCTCACTAAAATGCAGTTTTGAAAAAAGGTGCCAAATTTGAAACATAAATCATCAGATGTTTGATGAAGACTGATATTTTTGTCTTAAAAAAATAAATAAATAAAAAATATTACAGATTCCCATTCTCAAAAATTTTCACACTCCATATAAAAATTGATCCTTGTTCTTCAACAAGAATTTTTGAAGAATTTGTTTTGAAAAAAAAAAAAAAAAGTGAATTTTAGGTCAGAAATAAATAGAGACCCTGAATTCTTCAAATTTCACTTGGGTGACCCAAAGAGAAATTATCACAAAAGTCACTGGTAAATTCAATGTTATCAGACAAATAGATCCAAAGTGAACCATGAAAAGTCCAGATATTCATTCACAAGTTTTTTTTAAATTTAATCAGCAAACAATAATCATTATTATTAGTTCAATTATAATTGAGAATTGATAATTAATAATTAGAAATAAAAAAAAATCATTTTCTAATTATTTTTTTTAAAATTTTTTCATTACTTATTGTTGTAAAAATTAATTTTGTAATAATTTTCATAATAAAGAGCAAATGACATTATAAAATATTAAATTTGGATAAAGGAAACAGCTTTTCTTTATTCAGGAAAAATCATTTAAAAATAAGAGAAATTACAGAGGCATAAAAAAGACAAGGTTAGTAACTCCTGCATATTATTGGAAACTTTTAACCAATTGAAAAGTAATTTTATGATTAATTGAGCAGATTTGTGGGTCAGAAGACAAAATGTCTACACAGATTAAACTGACAGTGCTACAATAAAGCAAAGATATCTTAATTAAAGGGTAAAAAAAAAAATACTATTATTAGGAAAAAAAAAATTATATTTTACATCAAGAGGAATAATCATGTTTGATATATTCACAAAAAAATTTTAATTGCAGAAAATTAAAAAAAAATAAGCAATTAAAAATTCAGAAGAAAAAAAATGTTGACAAAATGGCTTTACAAAAAACAAAATGACATGATGATGCTGATGATGGGTAATATTTTTTTTTTGTGAAGGATGTAACCTGATACCATGTGATGTTGGAATATGAGCTAACAAGAAGCCTCAAGTATCTACATCCTCCTCTTTCACCAACGGAGGCAGGTAAGATTTTCTTTTCCTAGCGTCCTCCGAATTATCCAGAGAGAAATTTTTATTTTGGTTGGTAACCAAAATCAAATCTCTGACGAGAGTCTTGTCTTCACGAGCACGTCTTAGTTCCTCCTTCATGATTACTTTTTGTGTGATGAAAGCCTCCTGGCGGATTCGTTCTTTGGTTTTGGTTGGAATGTCAGGAATCAACCAGGCAATGATACTCGTCAGAACCACCACAAAATTCTAAAAACAAATATAACTGATTAAATATTGGAATAAGGAGCTTATGAGATGTGCATTAAAAAAAAACAAACAAACAAAAAAAACAATTAGAATATTCTGGAAAAGTTCCTTTTTTTCTGTAAATTTATTTAAAAAGTGAATGTCTGATAACATTGCAGATACATCTTTGGATTTTGTCAAGAAACTTTAGATCAAGATCCATAGCGAAAGCACCAGACTAGATGTGGTCAGTCAGTCAAAGTAATATACTAAGCAATCTAGTTACTAGTAGTTTGGGCATTGGAGTGCAAGTACCAAGTCCTGCTGAGAAAGGATATCAGCATTTCCTTAAAGATTGTAAGCAGACAGAAGCCTGAAATGCTCTAAAATCACTTGGTAGACAGTTGTGTTGAACCTGGACTTAAAAACACAGCAGACCAACACCAGCAGATGACATGCTACCACAAATCATCACACAAGACTTCTTCAATCTGGATTCTGTGCCTTTCCACTCTGTTGTAACCTAGGGAAGGTTACTGAATAGAATAATCAAATGAAGGCTGGTAATGAACAATAATACTTAGGACAAGAACAACACATGAAGGATTTGCCAGTGGTGCATAGAATAAGTAGTCAACTGCTAGAGGTGAGCCAAGGGAATTCCACAATGAATCTCCAACTGCAGATCAATATACAGTATTTACTACTGTATTTATGTGAATGGAGAAATAATAATTATTGTTCATAGGTATGCTACAACATACTCTTTCTCTAAATTCAAGGACTTTGATTTCCAAATGAAATGTAAAATTTATGTTCATCTGCAAAGAGGACTTTGGAACATGGAGTAATGATCAAGTTCTTGTTCTTCTGACGTTGTATTTGTATTTCTTGGCACTAGGAATGAAACACTTATTCCATTTCCTGAAGACATCTGTGCATGGTGGTTTTTGACCTACCAACTCTAGCCTCAGTTCATTCCTTGTGAAGAATTCCCCAAATTCTTGAAATCAAGGCTTTGATAATTTCTCTCAGGGCTGCAGGCATCCCGCTTGCTTGTACACTTTTTCCTACAATTAATTTTCATTTGAGTCAACTTTCCATGAATATGCTTTCATACAGATATGCTTTGAAGTAGATGATGATGATGATGATGAAACTGATTATGTTCTTTAAAATACTTTTTCATAAATAGGTCATGGATTTATACATATAGATACATCAATATATAATAAACACTTATTAGTTACAAATCTATTGTAAGGATCACATAACAATATCTGTTTTGTTCTACTCTCATAATTGTAAATCAGATGCAACTTGACAAAAAAAGGAGTGAGTAGGAGTTATAAACTTTATGAAATATAGAGCCAGGCAGTAGATGGATGTTACTCACCTCAAAACAAACCACAAATGCCATCCTGGCTGCTAAAATATGCCAAAATTGCTCAGAATAAGCATATTTGTCTTCGTCCCAAGGAGGATTACGGAAATCTCGATATCTGCACAAGAGATAATGAAACCAAGTTATACAGATTAGATAATATAGGTTTATGGACATAGGAAAAAAAAATTGTCTGATAACAAAAAAGAAATTTTCCATGAAGATGACATTCCTTACATATACATAATAGAAAAATATATAAAAATAATAGGGGAAAAATACATAAAAATAATAGGGAAAATAATAATAATAATCATAGAAAATAAGAGAAAAATACATAAAAATAATAGATAAAAATACATAATAGAGAAAGCATTTAACTTGAAGATGTTCAGCCCAAATTGTCCATAAAAAGTGTTACAGGTTTCAATTTTGAGTATCTTCCCATCTGTTAGACCGTTTCACAAGAATTTTTCCATTGAATGAAAAATGAGGAAATTTATATAGATGTGGGTTGAGGCCAGGGGGGGGGAGTGGAGAAAAGATGTCTGGACAGAGAGATAAAAGTAAGTGGAATGGAAGCAGGGGAAGAAAACAAAAGTAAAACAACTGAAAATAAAATTGGTAAACTTGCCTGCAGAATTCCACAGTGTCATTATTGAAAGTTGGCCGATGTTCTTTTTCAAAGTCACTTGTGTTAAAGACAGACAATGAGGATTCCACATAACCACTGAGGCTACCATCAGGGCTGTAGCCAAGGCGATAGACAAGTCGGGGAATAAACTCTGACGTGATACAAATGATGAAAGCCTGTAAATCGACAAACAGTAAAAAGATTTTTTTCACAAATCAAACAGAATGTGTGTCCTGACCATAACCCAATTGAAAATCTTTGGGCGATAATGGACAAGTGTACCTGTAATAGGAAAGTTAATGTAGAAGATGAGCTTTTTCCTGAATTAAAGCAATGCTGGAAAAATCTGGTGAAGGACATTGACTTATTAAAGAATTTAGTCTATAGAATGCCCCAAAGAATTAAGGCCATTATTAAAGCAAAAGGTTACCCAACAAAAATACTAAATCATTTTTTAACTTGTATAATGTACATATGTACACCTGTGTTAATAAATGAATCCTGAAGTGTTGAAACAAAATGTCTATTTTTGTAGTGATGCTATAACATGCTTATGTTATCATTTTTGAATAAATATTATATATATATATAAAATGGGAAAATTGTTTTTTGTATGACAGAAAAGCAGATTTATAGATCAATTTTCCATGATGAATGAAACTATGAAGGGATTGTGAGATCAGCTTGTTAATCATTGTAAGGATAGAAATGCTGAATGTTTCTATTTTGGGAGATGTCAGCTTCTATAAAAAAATAAATAAAATATGCAAATGGCATTGGCATTTCTGACCATTATACAGGAGTGAACCAAGTTTTCAGTACATAACTTTTTATTTTTGGAATTTTTTTCAACACATACCATTTTATTTTGGGAATTTTATTAGTATTTTAAATAATAATTTTTTTATAGTGCAACAGGAAGATTGTTGACAAGTACAAGACCATGAACTGAACTGAGCAGAGAGCAGAGCCTTTGAACTTCAGAAAACTTTACGACCCAAACACCAGTTCGTTTTCTCTTCAGAATCAAGTAAAGAGATGAATGATGGACAACATGCAAAAGAGAATTAAGTACAAAAATAATTCTAAACAATCAAAACCCATGAAAATTTTGTGGCTTTCTTATTTGGATTTTCTGATGAATCATAATTCTTAAGTGAATTTACTGAACAATCTCATTGTGAGATCCAGGACTATAAAACACCTATGGAAATACTACTATTGCATTGTTAAATATTTTAGATTAAAACCTTTAATCAAATATTTCAATAACAATTATAAATATGAATACAGGTCATTATTTAAAGTAATAAGAGGGGACAAATGAAAAGAATAAAATTTGACATGTTTTTTCTATTCCACTGAAACTGACATTAATTGCACGAGTGTATTATCACCTCTCCAATTTTCTTTCTTTGTTTGGTTTCAGTGAGAAAAACTATGTCTCTGATATGTTTTTTCTGTCTTGCTTTACAAACAACATGGAACAGTCCATTATCTATCAGAGATAATGGCTAGGTGCAACATACATGAATGAAGGAACAAACAGAATTATGATACTGAAATTTCTATCAGACACAAAATATATTTTAATTATATGAATTCATATCATTCAAAACATTAATTATACTAAGAAAAATAGGAGTAGATAGGTTTGCATATCACCCAGTTCACACTCCTCGCTGGTCTTTTGAATAGGAATAGAGTTTTATCACTGTTTAGGATTGGGTTTCCAGTTCCTTCTGAAATCTTCACTCTCTTTCATTCCAAGAAGCCTTGTGTTTAACACCTTTGCTTGGGGTGAATTGATTAAAGAAAAACAAAAACATTGTTTTGGCTGATTTATAAGAAATTATTTTTTCCCAAAAGGTACTTTTTGAAAAAGTTGATTATTGCAAGTTGTCCTTCAGGTTTTGTTTTGTAATACTTGGTTTTGCCATCAATAATTTGCCAAATGAAGGAAACATAATATTTCTATTAAGAAAAAAGAAAAAAATCTCATAAGCAAATGAATATGGTATTTCATAAAAGAAAAAGACAAAAAAAAAAGAGCAACAAAAGCAAAAATTCCTTACATTCGACACAATGGCAATTCTGGAGATGCCATATAACACACTGTGCCATATTCCTGAAAGATAAAGAAGGCAGAAAATAAAATTAAAAAAAAAAATGAAAATATTTGCTTTTAAACTGAATTTCACACACACACACACATCGATATCAAATGGTTGGAAAAAAATTTTAGTTTAACAAAAAATAAGTAATCAAACAAATTCACTTGAAATGTTAAAAGTCAAGTTTTGAATATTTAAGAGAGAAAATTAAGCCTAAATCATTTATAAAGAATTGATTGATTCATTCATTCATTCATTTTCTATGGGTTACATTTGCAGGTTATTTAAAGCCAGAAAATGTTTTTAGATTGTAAGAATCTTTCTTTTGAAAATAATAGTTTAGTGATAATAGTCTTACTAATTAACCCATAGATGTGTGACAAGATGTAGATTCATATTTTTACCAAGAGAATTTGTGCACATAAGTTTATATAACAAACCCAACAGAAATTAGAACTCAGCTCTCTGATTAACAATTCTGAGCCATTATCTATTATTACACCACCTGCACATCCAAGCTTACAGCACCAGGTATTCCCAAGTGGTCAGCCATCTAAGCTCGACATTGCTTAACTTTGGTGATCATACGAGAACCGGTATTGCAATATGATGTGGCTATAAGCCATAAAGAATTGAAAAATATTCCTAAATAAGTAAAACTATCATTGGTTTGACAAGTCCACAATACTTGAGCATTTGGGAAGGATTCAATTCAGTAACAATGGTCTACAAAATTAGACTGTTGACTTTATTACAGGGGTGGGTGGGTCAGTGTTTGTGTGTGTGTGTGTGTGTGTGTGTGTGTGAGAGAGAGAGAGAGATTGTGTGCATGAAAACATAAGTATGTGTAAGGGGTTAATTGAAAAGTAAAGTCAATGGTCAACATTTGAGGAAACAGTAAAGAAAGAGTCTCACCTATATTGGCAGCAATCTGTGGTGTCGGACGTTTCAGCGTTGTTACAAATTTGTTTGCGTCAGCCCTGATTTCAATGATGTTGTTGATGAAGCAGAAAATGGGGCCCATCGGAAACGCTGCCACAAATAACGTTAAAAACCCAAACTGAAGAACTAGAGAGGAGGGGGAAAAAAAAAATCTTATTATTTTGAATACATAGAGGTATTGCTTTGTCGTTTTAAATTTGGATTGAAAAATCAAGATATTTTCAAACATGATGAAAGCAAAATATAAAGAGTGAGATTGTCAGGATTTGGTTATTTACCCATTTCAAGATATTCATAAAACAAAGTTGTTGTATCAACTTCAGTGAGCAGCAAGTCTTTCTCCCAAGAGGATTTTGGCAACTTTTTCTGAGCAGCCACCTTCCACCGCTTCATGCAATATTTCCAAAGTTTCCTGAATGAAAGAAGGGAGAAACTTTATTTTTTGTTAATGATTAATGTGTGTAATCTAAGGGAACAAAAAGTAAACCTTTGTGAGTGTTAGGGGAAGCTAAATTCTTCCTCCTAAAAAAACAATAACTCAAAATACAATCGAGTTACCTCCCTTGTCTGTCAAGACAAGTACATCACTTCTGAATTGAAAATAGTGACCAGCTGACATGCATGTGGAATTCATTGTTTCAATCCATACTATCCCTGCTGTTCTCAGACAGAAATGAATGAAAGTAGTTTATTTATGCGTTAAAATACAGAATACACTTGTCTTATTTTCATTCATTTTTTGTTCATAGCAACAGCCTGGGATATAATTGAGAATTTTTTGTTTATTTGGAGAGATGAAAAAATTTTAAAAAAGACATGCATTCAATAGAGATAAGACAATTTGCTCTGAGCAGGTTTTTGGATCTAATGTCAGGATTCTTATCACCATTATAAAACTGATTTTATAATTGTCTTTTTGTGATTATAATAATCATGATAAAAGGAGTTGCTGAATAGTTCTTGGCTCAATATGACAAAACATTAGATGGTTGATTGAGAACTTATATATATATAAAATTAAAAGGACAAGAGAAAAAACTATTCTTAGTGGACATGTTTCCTCCTCTAAGAGGCTTTATCAAAGCAATCTAGGATTTTTGTTGCACATGTTTATATACAAAAGTGAGGATGGCATTGGTTGAATTATGATACTTTGTGTCCTCCACATATTTTGACTGAGCTTCCAACCACCTGATGAACATTCATGAACATTCTCAAATTTAAAAGCCTTGATAAGCCAATGATATCACTGCTCTTGTATATAAACACATGCATCAAAATAAATCCTACATTGCTTTGATAAAGTCCATCAGAGGATGAAACATGTCAGCTAAGAATAGTTTTTCCTCTTGTCTTTTTATTCTTGCTGTCTCTTTACAGATACACTATTGGAATATATATATATATATATATAGTGTGTGTAATTACACTCACACTACTTTACATATTTTAGATAATTATATTATCATAACAAGATTTGAACTTTCATCCCATACCACACAAGTGATTGGTATAGCATGTCACAATGCAAATACTTTTTCTAAGCAGCTGTTGTTTCTCTTTCTTACTTCACACCACACTATTAGTACATTTAGTATTTCATAAGAGACACAGAATATTCTAGAACAAATCATTGTAGTCATTCTAAGAATTTTAAAGAACCGATTTTACTTAGGAATAAAATCATAATGGTTGGGAATCCAGAACAAAATAGCTTCAGATAAGACTTGAATTTGTATTCTGAATGAAAAGGAGCTTGTTAGGTCATGTAGCCACACATCAATTTATTAGTATTACGAACATAGTACCAGTCAAAAATAGTGGAATTATGTATGAATCAGTACTTCTACCTCAGATAAAAGTGTTGCTCCCTGATCCTCTGCTTTGATGAGGCTTAAAGTCTGAGTGAGTAAATGAGAGAGAGAGAGAGTGTGCGCATGCATGCATGCTCAAAACTGCCTAGATGAAACTGAATAAAAAATTTACTAAGCTTGATTTGGCCTTGCATGAAGCCATATTAATGGAGCAATTAGTGGGGATTGAAACCTGTATTACACAAGGAAATGCATTCAGAATAACTTAGTCAACATCAAGTAAAAACAGAAAAATAAATAAATAAATCAGATTCACTCATCCTGAAAAAGGCAGAAAAAAATATAACATTGCACAAATTTACCTTTTCCTTTCTGCACATCTACTGTAAATTGTAACATCAAAATATTTTTCTTCAAAAATTTCATTTTCTTCTTACCCTCAATATAAAAACTGCAGAATTGAAGAAGATTGTTTGTGGGGAAGCAAAAGTAAATATCTGTTGTAATGGAATGTCCCACACTCCCTATCGCCTATGTGGACTGACTATATCAGTTGATATATATAGTGAGCACAGGATATAACTGATACTTGCTTTGGGAATTACTAGCTTGCTAACCGATTCCTTGTCTTTCAATAGTGTATTCTCTTTTACAATAAACCTCTTTTTATTTCATCTACGTGCGTGCTGCTGTTCCTTCACTCAAGTACCACCTTTGTATGTTTGTAACCTCTTTAATGATACAATAATATCAATGAAAGAAAACCTGGTCAAATAGAAAACACTTACGGAATGAGGATTTCCACTAAGTTGTTTTGCAATAATTGTTTGCCTGCCATGATGATACCCAGTTGGATGCAGAGTTCAATGAGACAACCTCCAGGTTCACACTAACAAAATATAACATCAAAGAGAAATTAGAAAATTTAAATAATTGAAAATTTACGTAAAAGTCATCTTTGGTTTTGTTCAATTTACCATTGAAATTGATCATGTTTTAGTTTGGTAAATAAAAAAAAAGTATCTTTATTAAACTGTAAAGAATGTCAGTCATATGCATCCAGGGCATGGGTTTTGTTGTTTGGGTTTTCTTTATAGTGTCATTTATTTATTTTTTTTATAATTGTTCACCCAGTACAAGGCTCATGAGCTACTCAAGGTAGCGGTTAAGGATTGAGGTTGTTGCACATAAGGAGGAGGTAAGAAGTGTACTTCAAGAGGATATGTACAACAGATAACAGTTAACCCTAGATTGGTTTTTCTTACAGAAAAAAAAAAGCCAAGTAGATTTTTATTGCTATTTAGAGAAATAAAAAAGAAAGACAAAGAAAGCAAACTTGGCTGAAATAAAAACATCAATTTAATCTCAGACAATGTTGCTATGGATACATTGGATATTATACAGATGGCATAACAGTTACTGGTACAGAAAGTGGAACTGATGAGGCAGGTTCAAATTCTGGTCTGTTTTTTTTGGGGGGGGGGTTCTTTTTCCTCATTCATTTTGCACTAATGCTCTTGAGAAATGCATGAATCAATTTCTTCATTCATGTAGAGGCTAAACAGTAGCTTTGGCCAACCAACCGAGGAGGACATCACTGAATTCAAAATCACTCCACTATCTCTCCCAAGAACAATCGTGACAATGCATAGATAAATAAAGAAAGGGGAGCTGTGGAGAACTTTGATTGCTTATGTCCTGAATACTATTGATTTAGCTAATTATGTTGTCTTAAACAGAACTGTGGAATAATTGTATGTGAATCAAAAGCAATATACAACAATGCCACAAGTGGCAGTAAACATTAACTCAGGCCCCAATTTTGTGGTCTGATTTTTAATCTAAACAAAATTTGATCAAAATGTTTTATTAATACTTACTATTCTTTTCATTTGTGTCAATCCATGATATTTAAGATGTAAGTGTATAATAGGTGGCTCAAGTCATTGTTATTACTGTATAACTGATATCCAAAAATTCAATGAAATAACCAAACTGATTTTGGCATCATGGAGGTCAATTAAAAGAAAAATTTCGTAACTTATGTTCTTTAAACAGATCAACATGTTGATCAATAAAATGATCTGTCTTTAGCAAAATGTTCTAAAATAAAATAAATTTACAAAGGGCTGTTGAAAAGTTCTTGGCCCAACCCATTTCTCCAAATCTGACAATATGCAATCCCTTCTTGGTTGGTCTGAGAACTTTTCAGTACACCTTCCTAATAAACACACTGGTGGTTTATGTCGGGGGAAAAAATCCAAATAAGGGAGAATTAGAAAATAAATATATGATATTTGTGGATATTTAACAAAAATAGAGCTATACTGAAAAATCAAAATCCATTCTCTGCATCATGAATTAAATGGCATCTTCAAATCTTGTCAGACATTTGCGAAAGAAAAAATAAAAGAAATTATGTACCTCTTCCTGACGAGCACCAAACAAAGTATTGTATTTTCCTGGGCGACCAACAAATCTAAAAAGTAAAAATAAAAATTATTTGAAACAAAACCTAAAAAGAAAGATTTTATTTTCACCAACATTATTATTATTATTAGGACTTAACTACAACTTCTGACTCCAGAAAAAAAAACAAAAAGAAGAATATTAGCATTGCATTTCCAAGTAATTTTCAATATACTTGTATTATTTTGAACTATTGTTCTTGTCTTGGTTGATATAGATGTTATTATTGACAATTTTTTGACCAGGTACCCCGATGATGATCAGAGAGTATTTGTTTGAAACAGTGTGTCCATAATATCATTTATATCTGGTGAGACGGAAAAATGCTAGGAAGAGGAAAAAGTCAAACAATTGTGTCCTGATCCCAAAAAGAAGAGGTATTGAGCAAAATTTCATGGAAAAATTAGCTCATGGGGAGGTGTTGTAATGGAATGTCCCACACTCCCTATCGCCTATGTGGACTGACTATATCAGTAGCTATATATGGTGAGCACAGGATATACCTAGGGGCTTGCTTTGGAAATTACTAGCCTGCCAACAGATTCCCTGTTTTTCAGTAATGTATTCTGTTTTACAATCAACCTCTCTTCTTTCATCTACACGTGTGTTGCTGTTCCTTCACTTGAGTACCACCTTTGTCTGTTTGTAACCTCTTTAAGGATAGAACAATATCAATCAAGACAAGAACAATAGTTTGAAATAATACAAGTATATAAGCCTGTAGAACTTGTTAACTTTGGGTTAAAAGGTTAATTTGAATAAAACTAAAACTCATCTTCAAAGATAGCAGTTTAATGTTTGTGTATATGAGGAAGCTGAGAGGCATGCTTGGAGATGTCTGCGTAGAGAACATCAATAAAACATTGGACGAGACAGGTTATCACAAATCAGATTTGAACTATAAGGTGCCACTTACACAACAGATAATGGAGAGACATCAGGAAATCAGAAAAAAAAAAGCATGTATGTGTGTTCTCCAAGTGGGCTATTTTAATCTTGATTGTTGAAACAAACATCCATATCAAGGGCAGCCATTCTAATGGCATTCAAACAGTTAAGTAACTACATCAAAAGGTGCTGACCTACAAGGAGCAATGTTTGCCTTTGGGCTTATGACTTATAAATTCTAAAAGAGATACTTTTAAAAACAGAGACTTTTGTAAGTTGGTGGGTGAATTGATCAATGTCCTGTCTGTCCTGACAGGAACTGTGCACAGTAAAACCCCAGTTGATTTGTAAACTGAGCCTTTATTTGAAGCAGCCAATAGTTATGCATTTTGGTTCTGACAGGATTTTCACATTGAAGACATTACACTTTTTTGCCTATTTGCTAATGCTCATATTTGTTGAGTCATTGGAGAGTGTCTTGAAATTCAAAGCCAAGGCTGGATTACTGGGGTACATTGACATGAAATCCCGGATGGGCAAAATACAAAGAAAGCATTTCAGAACAAAGAAGCAGACGAGCTTTGATTGATTTTTCCTTCTAATGTTGTTTATCTTCTGTGATTTTCAAAGTGAACTTGAGAAATTTTTTAAATGGGTTTGCAGTAAATGATGTACTCACAAAGAAACATAATTTATTGCAGATTGAGAGAGAGACAAAACTTATGCCAAAAGCTAAACCAAGTATTGGAAGTTCAACTTGACAAGTTGATAGACAGACACCAGGAGTAATGTAGTCATTAGTCAGGATTTATATTTTCTATTACATTTTGCTTTTGTAAATAAAATGTACTTCCTGTTAGATGGAATTTCTATTTGTGCTTATGTGGGCCTGAATTATTTTGGACACCAAAAATGGGCTGTAAGAAAAAGTTAAGATACATTGGTTTAACTCTTAACAAAGATGTTTTATTTTTTCCCATGCATTAGACACTGTGCTACAAATTCTAATACATTGTTTTGAAACCTACTTTGATGGATTTGAGGTTGAAACAATTTATTTTTAAGTCATTAATATGCAGGAACTTGAATGAGTCTCAAGCTTTTCTGAACTTCAGAAATTCATTATAAGTGATGATAATTTTTTAATCTACCAAAGCTTTTATCAGGCAGAATTCTAATCTCTTCTCTTTCTGTTACTGTCTTATTTACTAAAAAGCAACAAATAGAAACTAATGATTAATAAGTAAAATATGTTAACTTAGAATCTTCAAAAATTAATATTATCAATACTTTAGAGTTTATTTGGTGCTTTTTAAAAATGAAATTGTGAATGGTTTAATAACAGCTGACATCCCATAATAAAAAAATTAAAAAAAAAAAAAAAAAAAAATCAGGAAGTGACACTTACTTTCCTTTAAAAAAAGCAATGTAAATAATGGATGAATAATAATTGACAAATTGAAGAGCAAACAATTTGAATGTCAGGCTGTTGTCATATTCAGTTTGTGTTCGTAGAGATTCCAAATCTGTCAACCAAAAAGCTGCTTTACGGTAAATCTGGGGGTCAGAAACAAAGCAAAAATGTTAAGCAAACAAACTGACAAGTTTAAAATATTTTTTTGCTATTCACTCATTTATATAAATTATTCTCAAGATTGTTTTTATTTGATTATATTCAAGAAAAAAAAAATAGTTTTGATATAATAAAAAAAAAAAAAAAAAAGATTCACTTATGTTTTCATTGATTTCTATAAATTTGAGGCAACTCATTGTGGTGAATGTAGAAAAAAATCATTTTCACAAATAAATAATTAAAATACGAAGTGCTTTCAAAAAGAAACCAACTTTTGGACATAAAAAATAAATTTTGTACATTTCACAAATTTTATTTAATCACTTTCAAATTATGCCCCCCCTTGAGAATTTACACTTCCAGTGGTTCTGACACCACTGGCAAAACCTTTGGAATGCTTTTCTTATAATTTCCTCTTGCGACTCAAATCACTTATCATTCAGTGCGGTTTTCAGATTAAGGAAAAACCAAAAGTCACATGGTGCCAAGTCAGGAGAATAGGGAGCATATTGAACAAATGGTATGTTGTTTTTGACTAGGGATTGTTACATGGCGGTCTTCCATGACTATTTGCCAAACCTTCTCAATCGGCTTGTGGGTGCCCAGCCTGCACATGCCTCACTCTCCACTGAGGTGCAGCCATATTTGAAGCAATTGTACCACAACTTGATCTGAATTTTGCCCATGGCATCATCATTCAGTCATCTTGCATGAAAATGAAAATCTGATGTGCATACACTACACATCTGTACTCTAGACACAGCCTACTGGCATGTAAATTTTCCTGTTTGTATAGGAAGGGTGTCATCACCTCCCAATTTTGCCCACACAGCATTAATTTTGGTAGGAAGAAATAAAGTTGGATACTTTTTGAACACACCTTGTATAGTATTTACAGCCTTATTTTGTTTAAACTGAGAATAAAACAAACAAAGATGCCCAAATTTGGTCTTCAGAAAATAAATGTTCAAGAGTTTATTAAATACATATTCCAACTTTGACCTTTCCTAAAAGTGACTTATTAAAATAGTTTTAATTCTGTATTATATATATATATATATTCATTATTTACATTGTTCAAACTATTGGCCTCGTCTTTGTTGCCATATTTATCACAACATTTTGGCCGTTGTATGCTTCAGCCTTCTTCAGGTGGTTGGAATGTCGAACTAAACCCTTTATTTCACTGGCTGAGGTAGACTGTTCTAGTTCTACGTGCCATGTCTAATGGATGTCAGCAGTTATCTCCTGTTAATTCCCCTCTCTAAGTTCTCCATTGCCTTAACCAGGTATTGAACTCACACTTGGAGAGAACTTGCAGAGGGGAATTAACAGGAGATAACTAATAACTAACATCCATTAGACATGGCATGTGAAACTAGAACAGTCTACCACAGTGAACAAAATAAAGGGTTCAGTTCGACATTCCAACTACCCAAATAAGGCCAGAGCATACAATGGCCAAAATGTTGTGATAAATATGACAATAAAGATGAGGATGATAGTCCGAAAAATGTAAATAGTGTACATAATACCTCATCTCAGAAATATAGACAGATATATATTCATTCATTTATATTCTGTATCATAAGAAAATCTAAGTGGAGACTGTTAGTGTTGGGAGGGGTACAGTTGAATGGACAGATCTCTAGGGCCAAAGAGTGTCATGTCTCACTTGAAAATAGGAAAATATAATTGAACAAAATCCAGAAGAGCAGCACAAAGAGAAACTCACGATGTTGAGCACCATTATAATAGCCAAGTTGATGCAGGCCGACAACATTGTCGTCATGATACCAGCATTTTTGTAGATGATGTTCTCTTTACGCATTTGGAGAGCAGCCAACATGGACACACGAAAAGCAATAACTCCAAGCACAGCAGCAATTGCTATGGCAACCTGAAAGAATAAATATGGTGGATGATGATAAATTCAAAATCTGAAAATATTGAAAGGAAAAGTCATTATGTAAAATTTCATAAGTGTCCAAGTAGTTTTTGATCTTTTAGTAGAAGAGATAAAATAGAAACAGAAACATCAAGTGGGTTTTGATATGACTTTTCTTCTTCTAACTCTTCTTTTTCTATTTAAGGGTGCTTATTTGTCCTTCTTATCTTAGTTTACTGGGAAGAAAAACTTCCTTTTCCTCACCAGATTTCACATTCTAAACAGAAAATGTATTATTCCCTTTTAGAATACAATAGCAAAAAATAGAAGAACTTCAAACACTAAAACTAGAAATAAGAAAGAATTTCTGAGCTGGGGGATTGACTATAATTGTTTTTTTCTTTTAAAGCTTATCAACCCTTTGTGTGTTACTGAAAGTCAAAACATTAAGATTTGTAATAATTTTTTTTTTTTTGCAAGTGAATATTGCATGAACAATTTTTTGAGAATAACATTGATTTTTCCAGATACAAGTCCTATTATTTAATCCATAGAAGAGGGAAGAGGAAATGGATTCATACCTTTCCGAAGGATATTTGTTCATAAGTAAATGTAATGAACCTGATTGGAATTTGAACTCAGCTGTCCAATTTCTCCTTCCAAGCTGTTATCCATTACAAATTAATGCTGTTTATTTTTTTTATTTTTAACAAAAATGCAAGTAAAAAGTTATATATATATGTATTAGTAAAAACTTACCATGAACAACATAAATGAGTAGGAAAAGCAAATGGCCGGGATTTGTCGACTCCAAAAGGGCATATAAGGTTCCTTTAACTGAGAAAGAAAAACAATAAATTTTAAGTTTTATGAAAAGCATTTTTAATTCCTAGTCCTGTAAAATTGTTTACATCAAAGTGAAATGCACATATCTATATATGAGGTTGGATCAGTAGGTTCATAACTTGACAACTGAATTGTGATTTAAAGTTTTCATTGTAATAATGTTTCATTGTGATTTATAGAGAAGAACAGAATTTTGTTCATTGAAAAGGAAGGAGTTTACATTAGAATATATTTGTTGCATAAAACAAATGCTTTTTTTTTTTTTATTAATGAATATAATATATTATATATATATATATATATATATATATAAATCATGTATTTTTTAATTTGCAAGTTTATAATTGTACATGCTTCATTCAAATTTGGCTTGAAAAATTTGATAAAATCTACCATTTTGAAGTTATCAACAGTAAAATTTTAGATTCATTCATGTCGCGGCAGCCATTACTGGCATTGTTTGAATACATTCATTGCAGAATAGCTATGACTGGAATATTCAATTGTCTTGATTATTGTGGATGCAATATAGTTCTCTTGCACAGTAATTGAGACAAGTTGAGACAAGTAAGATCAGTAAACAAGGCCATTAATTATGTTCTCTTATGCATTTAGCTTTCAGCAGCAAATGTATGCAAATAACACCAATAATGGCTGCTGTCAATGAATCCAAACTTTTACTGTCGATAACTCCAAAATATTCTTTTAAATATATTTTAGCATGTCTGTATTTACAAAAATTATATATATATCAGAAAAGGATTAGCAGCTCTAAAAAGTTTGCCCCAAAAAGTGTTCAATGCCATAAGAAATGGCAGAGCTTCAATATTAAATCAAAATCCATGTAGGCAGTGACTGGCCATGACTGCTAGTTTCATGTGTTTCTTTATAGGGTAACCATCCTACAAACTACAGCCACTGGCCACCTGACAATTGCATGCAAATGCATGAAACTAGCAGTTGTGGCTGGTCACTGCCTACTTGCATTTTCCTTTAATATATATATATACACACACATACACACACAGACTTTATTTTTCAAAAAATGAATTAGAATTTATTGAATTAAATATTCACCCTTATTTGAAATGACTTATTGCTACTTATTAGGCATCTCTTTGATTCCACATCAAAGTGTTTTGCAGTGATCAAAAAAAGGTAATAATCAGTTGGTGCAAGGTTAGGTGAGGTAGAACAGGCCAACAGAGATAAAACAAAATCCCCCCCTCACATATCATTCTTGCTTATGCATCCACGTACTTTCATGGAGGAGAACATTTTTTTTCTTAAATCTATTGTCTATGCTGTTATGGTCATACAAAAACTAAAGGATATATTAATGGACTTCAAATTTATTTTTAACTGCTATGTATAATCAGGATTGGTTTTCAAAAACAGAAATTACCTATCACTCAATCCATCTTCTAGGCAATCCCTGTTGCAGATGCCTGCTCATTTTATTAACATCCATAGAGCCCACCTGTGATTTACACTGCAACTAGGCTGAGCAGACATTAGTTACAGCTTCTGGGAGAGAATGCATAAATTTATCTATGATTATTAGCACTTTGAATAAACACAACGATCAATGGTTTCCAAGCTGTTCTGTCTATAGGATTTCACTCACTAACTTGGATCAACTCGTACTATGGTCTTCAGGCATTTTCAAAAGGTGCCACATACTGGGACAACCATCAATGGTTTTCAAGCCTGTCAGGATTTCATTCACTAGCTTGGACAATTGAGAATGGTCTTCAGGCATTTCAAAAATCACATATGATGAGATTCAAAACATTGAGAAGTCACATTTCAAAAAAAATGAACATTCAAACCTGGGTAAGGGTTGAAAAATGAACATTCTAACTGCTTTATATATTTATATATATATATATATATATATATATATATATATATATATATATATATATATATATATATATATACACACACACACACAATTCACACAAACAAGATAAAAAATAGCAGTAGAATTTATGCAGTCTTTTTGCTTTTGTAGAATTTAAATTTACAATGAGCAAGCAGAAGAACCAAAATAAAATGGAAGTCAAAACTCACATGCGTAATTGGATCCTTTCGATATTTTTTATTGTCAGCAAGTTTAGCCAAATACTCAGGACGAGGTGGTTCCTAAACAAAAAGAAAAAAAAAAAGAAAATACTATATAAATACAAATGTTTTCATGAACAAATTACAAACAAATCCCAATACAGCAAAACCTAATACAATATGAATTCCAATAAAATACAATGAGGTTATGGCTCCCAAATCTTTGGAAAATTAATTCAAAAACATTTCTCCCAGGATTTCAAGATAGCAGCTCATCATATTCCACACTTGACATATCTTGGCTCAACTTTATCATAAATACTGCATCTAAAAGAAAATATAATGAGGATGTTCAGGTCCAAAACTCATGAGTCTAAAGTTCTAATTCCAAAGGTCATAAATTAGTCTCACAAGTCAGAAAATGTGAGTGGAGTCAAAAATTCTTACCCATAACTCTCAATACACAACTATGTTTTACACCCACAAAGAAGAGAGAACTTCTCATCTGTTGTCTAAAGTAGCATTCTTTTATTGGGGGATAAGAAAAGCTGTGATTAGTAGAGACTGGTAAGGCAAGCACAAACACCTATATCACAAATTGTTTTTCAAGGTAAGACTTTGTTTTCCCCTTTATTGCCACAGTATCATAGCCTGTTTTATAACTGAAATCATCTCATATAATTTTTTTCTATTTGGCATTGTGTAATATAGAATTAAGCTTAGTAAACAATAGTAGAAAAATAGATGCAGGTATCAGGAGGTGCAAAACCAAGAACCATAGATCACAAAAAGAAACAAATAAGAAACATTAGTCAGTAAAGCCATTGTCTGTCAAATTCCAATTGCTGACCTCTCAAAACCAGATACTTATATAATTTCAAGATGCCGACAATTGGTCAGACAGAAATCTTCATAGGCTGCTGAGTTCTCTATGAAAAAGAAAGCCATTTTCGGCAAAGGATTTATGCAATACATTAGTATTTCAATCAGTGAGCTACTGTGTTCTTTTCTGCATAAATATCAAGATCTAAATTGCATTTCTTGGTAAATGGAGTAGCGGGGGGAGGGGGTCTGCTAATGTCATTTATAAGAAGATTCAATTATGACCTAAATCATTTTCTTGGATTAACAATTTATACTGAGATATGCCTATGACATTTTTTTGGTTCCTTTTTAAAAACATCAAATATTCTTATTTTTCAGGATATAAGTTAACGTCTGACAAGCAAAACTCTGTATGACAATATGTATTTGTTTGTGCGTGTGTAAATATATCTTCTACTACTCTAAACGTTATTTTGTGGATACCCATGTTTGACTAGATGCCTTTTTTTTTCTCCTTTTAGAAAGTGTCAGTAACATTCTGCAGATGAAGATTCTAAAATGTTAAAAAAATGTTATTGTTGTAGTGTCTTCCCTCTAATGAGTCTGTTATGGACTCTTCCACTTACTATAAAGTAGTAGGAAAAGTAAGCCTTGGAGGGAACAGTGATATAGACTGAACGCTGGTCAACCAATGCACACTCCCAAGTCATGTAACACACTTCTGTTGTATTTACTGTTCAATATATGATTTATCTGCAACCTCTTGTACTGTTATTTTTAACCAATTACTTATAATTGTTTAAAGTATCCCTAAGGTTTAGAAACATTTCAACAGCTTCCAACAGATAAACTTCAACATAGATTTTAGGCTGCATCTATAAAATAATCTCTGGTTGAAATGAGACAACAGTTTTCTTTAAACTGATTGTCAAACCAATCTCTATTTACAATCTTCATAAAGTCTGTTCATCAACAAATTCATATACTCCTGAGAATTTTTGATTAAGTTATGGTTACCAGCCAGTCAGGACTAAGTCACAGTCACCTGCTGGTCAGAGCCAGGCCACAGCAGTCACCTGCCGGTCAGAGCCAGTTCACAGTCACCAGCCGGTCAGGGCCAGGTCACAGTCACCAGCCGGTCAGGGCCAGGTCATAAAACCATACCAAACATCAATCATCATCACCATTGAGAACTAGATAGAAAACAAAGATCAAATAGATCCCCCCATTAATACCATTTTCAACTTTCAAAGATCCATTAGACTCCTACTGGCATTCACCAGAGTTTCCATAAAAGACCTAATGATTGGCACAAAATGATCTGGATTATTGAGTTTTCATAGAATTATCTGAAAGTGTCAAATTCTTTAGTTCCACAAAAACCTGGAACAATTCTTGGTTTTGCTCTTTTCTTGTAGTTGTCTGGCTATGAAGATCATGTCAACTGTCCCTCAGTTAGGGTTTGAATCCACACTGATTCTAGAAGAACAGTGTCAACAAACATCCATTTAGGTGATGTAAAATAAGAAAAGCTAATCTTAATAATTTCACACAATAAAATTCCTCTGTAGTTATAACATTCCACATGTAATAAACATAACTTTTAAAATAGAACGTGATAAGGAATAGAACAATATATATGATGTATCAAAGTAACAAAATATGGATAAACAAAAAAAAAAATTTCCACCTTTTCAAGATATTTACAACTCATTTAGAAACATATGCTTAACTTGTTGCATTTTTCTTCCAAATTAAATTGTTTGTACATTAAAAAAGAAGAAGCAATAAACAAGAAACCCATTTGAACCAATTATAAAAGACAAAAATTCTACCTCTTCCTCTTCAGAATGAAGATTCCATTTCCACTGAATTATTGCCTGTTTTCGTTTCCAGAACTCCAAAAACAATGTTCCTGAAAATAAATACCAGAAAGTTATAAAAGTTAACCCGTTGTACCAGTTGTGTTAAAAAAATAAAATAAATGAATAATAAATGGATCATCTGTGGCTAGCTACAAAAAAATGGATCAGCTATATATCCGGCACAAAATGCTGGAGTTAATGTTTATCTTAAGAGCAAGAACAAGTAAGGTGACATAAGTCTGTAAATTTTTTTAAAGAATTATGGAAAGAATAGAGTTCAATATAAATATAAAATTATACTGTATTTGTTAGAACTTATAACAAGGATTAATACACTAGGCAAACAACTTGACTGTGTGGTTGGTTAGTATTTGTTCATTATTTTTTTTTTACTAATTTCAAGGGTTTCTTTAAGTGCCAATGCAATTTCAGGATTTGAAAAAAAAAAAAAAGAAAAAGAAAAAAATCTTCTGCATAAAGCATTTCAGATTTCAGGTAAGTGAATCTGAATTGACAAAAAAAAAAAAAAAAAAAAACTGACAACTAAAATAGGTAACCATGATTTCAAAACCAAATTTAGCCATGGAACCAACTGAAAGTAAAACAGGTTTTTTTGATGTTCTCAATGCTGGTTCAAAAAGAGAACATATTATTCTTTGGATTTTGTCTTAATTCCTGTAAATGTTTCCATGGTCATTGACTCAAAGTACCAGAGCCAATTTTTATCAATAATGAAAATCTTTCAAATTGGTTCTACTTAAAATAATACAGAATATGACAAGGAACTAGTCTCTTTAATATGTCTTTTACTAATGGCTAGAATTTGTGTTAAAGCCTACTTAAACCTTTCCGGCTGGAGGTACAGATTGAGATATTGGTTGCTGATTATGTCAAATACATACAAATAATGTCTTTCAGTACAGAAGCAACTGAAGGTTTTTTTTTTCAGAGTGACTTTATAGATAAAAGTGAATCCACCTTCCCATTTAATGGTGGTAAAATTATAAGTATTGTTCCCTCAGATCAATTTTGTAGCCTCATGAATTTGTCCAAACTTTTTCTCTACAAAAATATAAGATCCATTTTCTAAAAGTAGATTACATATTCATTTTGATGGTAATTTGTGTATGACGTTTAACTCAAATGTACAGTCATCTTAAGAACAAATTTATGATGGAGGTGCTGAAAAGTTATCAGACTGACAAAATATCAGAATTTATTTTGAAAACTTTTTTGATTGGGCCAAGAACTTTTCAGCAACTAGTTTATGAAAGTCTTCATTTACATAATGATTCTTATTTAAGCTAAAATAATAAAGGCTTTGAAACATTAAGTCAATTTTTGATTGGCTTATTTGTTGGCCAAACCAGTGAAACTTTCAAGTCAAAAGATACAGATTGGTCAGAAAGAGAAAGATGAAAAGTAAAGGAGAAAAACAGCCCTACCCCACAAGGACATGAAGATTGCAAAAAAGACAGTTGCTCCATTATCAACAATTGTACTGACACGGGCATGTGAACAAGAAGCAGAAAGTTTCCAATAAGGACATCGATGATCACACAATGGACACATAGTGATATTTTTGCTTTCACAGATTTCATTGCTGGAAAAGAAATAAATGTTTTGATTAATTAATATTTATACAGAATTTTTGTTTCTATTTTTAAGTATTTTTTCAAGTATCTATTTTTTGCTTTTTAAAAAACTGTTTCCAGGATTTTTTCAATTATTAATGCACAAAGAACAAATTAAAACCAAAATTTGTGTCAAAAAAAAAAAAAAAAAAAAAATGCCATATGCCCCAAAAAGAGATTCCCTATCCTGCCAATCATATCCTCCCAACAACTTATTAATCATAACTAACTTATGTTTATTAATTAACAAATCTGTTTAATAATTTTGAAAATGATAATTACAGAATAGGTTGACTACAAGACTAATTCCAAGGACAAAATATATTTTCATGTCAACAAAGTTAAAATGTTTTATGCTTTGTGACATTTTTTAAATATAGGAACAGACAAAATTATCACTGAACAGGAAGAGGAAAGTGACTCTCCACCTGTTGAGGCATGTAACCCCAACATTAAGAGATTAAAGGCATTATTTATAGCCTTTGTCAGATGGATATAGATCTGAGTAATCTACATGGAATTCTGAACTGAACCCTTTATTTAATTAATGTGAATCAACTGTTCTCATTCCACTGCCCATGTCTAATTCTTATCTTTAGTCTTGCTCAGTTATTGCTTGCCTGTTTCTACACTGCCCAGGCCAGGGATCGAATTCACAATTACTTTGACACAAACTTCATGAACAAAAAATAACCGACTATGGGAAAACAGCCTAGTGGATTAATAACCAAGCAATAACTGAGAACTACTAACAAAAATAAGAACTAGATGAGATACCACTAGGCAAGAACAGTGGAACGAGAATAATCTACTCCTGTAGATTAAATAAAGGGTTCAATTCAGAATTCACTGTAGGTTACTCACATCAACTGTTCATATGTCTGATGAAGGCCAGAGGGCACAATGACCAAAAAAAAATGAGGACAATATCCAAATGTAAATAATGAGAACTGCACATCTCAACAAGTCATGACAGGTTAAAGTCAGTGAATTAGTTGGCATAAAGTCTTGTTTTGGGATGTGAATCTGAGAAAAAAACTAAAGGCAAAATGTCAATTATATCTGAATGGGGACTGGAACAAATTGCCAGAAATATTTTAAATGTTAATTACAATAAATGAAATCATCCTGTAGCAAACTGAGAGCTATGGTAAGGGATGGGTGGAGGACAACAGTGAGATTTGAACCAGTGGATAACTTAAAATTTATTAAACTGTTCACAACTTAGTAAATTCCCAAGTTCAAGTGCTTTGTGCTTACTTTTGCCTAAGTGGGTTCACATGACAGAAGCTGGATAACTTTGATCTTGACACTAGAATTTTTGTTGCGTTTATTTAAATACTATTTTTATTAATAAAAATCCTTACTTTTTCATGAAAAAAATTTTGCTGAACAATTAAAAAACGTAACAATTGTGTATCAACAAATTGGCATTTGGCTTCCGAAGAAACAATGCAATTTATAAGATTTATGAGCAATTAATTATGCTTAATAAATCATCTTTTTGGTATTCATGTATTAAATATAAAAATAGACTCAAGTAACTTCAGGTTTTGGGTCAGTAGTTATTGAGGACAGTTTGCAAAAAGACAGTGTTGAATTGTATCTCCAATGTCTTTAGTCACATAATCAATTACTATATAAATTCTGTTGTGTATTTCAGAGACACTTATAACACATTCCAGACAAAATACCTGCTCAGAAAATATTAATTTAAGGGTTACACAATTCCCTTCATATTCCAAAACAAACAAAAAAAATCTGTAAAACAACTACAATATTTGTTAATTCAAAATTATTTTATTAATTTTTGGTGAACTTACAATCAGGTGTATAGATAGAGAAAAATAAAATGAGAAATTAATATTAAGTATATCAATTTTTTTAGTTTTGAAAGAAATTTGAAGAACATCTGTGTGTGTGTGTGTGTGTGTGTGTGTGTATATATATATATATATACATACATACATAAGTATATGATTGGTGTATATGGAATAAATTCCAATAACCAACAATTAATATTCTTAAAAGAGTGCTCAATAGTAGAGCGAATATAATTATTTATTTAAAAATTATAACATAAATATGTTATAAAATCACAGCAAAAATAGCCATTTTGTTTCAATACCTCTGGTGTCTTATCAAGTGATGATGTTGAATCACTTGATAAGACACCAGGTGTTGAAACAAAATGGCTATTTATGTAGTGATTTTATAAAATATTTATGTTATAATTTTTAAATAAATAATTATATATATATAGTGGACATTGAAGTCAACATGCAGATGTGACAGTCTGTTTCATGCTAAATGCTATCAGCAAGGAGTAATAATTGTGTTTAACATGAAACAGACTGTTGCCTTTGTGTGTTGACTTCAATGTCCACTTTTATATTTACATACGGTCTCTCCCTGGTATTGAGTACTTTAACCCATAAATATACCATACTTTAAAAACAATATTTTAGAGAGATGGCCAAAATCCTACTTGAGGCTGTTTCAACAGGAGCTGAGAGTTTTCATCACTTAATAAATCATAAAATGAGGCAATTTCTTCTTAAACTTCAGGCAGAATATCTCTAATTCCAGTGACCAAGAGAGTTTTTCATTATATATCACACACACTTTTATCTATTCACTATTAATGCTCTATTTATTTTTGCAAAAGTCTGCTTAACTTAAAATATGTGCTAGTAATTTAGTGGCTAATGTATTTTGTTAGTCATCAACTATTTTTATTATTACTTTATGTAAGTGCATTTAAGTAGACACTGAAGTCAACACCAAGTGGCTCAGTTTTGACCTCAATGTTCACTTTTATATTTACATTTACCTATAAATATAGCATATATTAAAATTATTTTTCAGTTTCCACAAGGAGATGCAGGTTTGAATCCTGCTGCAGGATGCAAATTTTTTTTAACAAGATTTCTTGAATATTCAGGTTGGTAGATGGAAATAAATATACTGTTTAATAAATAAATAAAAATGAAAAAAAAAAAACAAAGCATCTACTCAAATATGAGTGTCCATTAAAAATAACGTTTAAACAAGTTAAAAACACACACACATTATATATATATATATATATATATATATATATATATATAAAATGGTAATGCCAAAATATAACAACAATTAAAAACAGTTACACCAGTTCATCAGTCCTCTCTCATCAGAGGAAAAATTGAAGACAAAAAATGTGCACACTGACTTTAAAAAAAAAAAAAAAAAAAAAAAAAAAAGGAGAAAAAAGATACAACCTCAAACTAATGTTATATTTGGGAAAAAAAAACATTAAAGCCCACCAGTCACTCTTACTTAAGAGAGAGATGGCTGGTAAGACTTAATGTACACTGATTACAAAACTTTCAAGCATTAATCAGTATAGTCCTACTCTTCACACTAACATCTGAATTTGTAAATTATAAAATTAATATGATGGGTAGGCAGAATATCTTTCTGGATCAATCTCAATATAGTTCAGGAACTAAAAGTAATATATGCATCAGTGAGAAAATAAAAGCTTCTTACACTAACTGAAATTTGCTTAGTAGTTTATCAAATTTAAAGCTTTTTAGGATTGGATTTCTGGTTCCTTCTAAAAATCTTTGCATTCTCTTTCACTCCCCTTTCATGCACCTTGCATCTTAGTGGCATTATTGCCTTTCTTAGGGTGGATAAAAAATAAAAAATAAAAATAAAGCATTCCTGTATCTTCCTTGTTTCTTGATGTAGAATTGTAACCAGCATTTGTTGTAATTTATCCGCATTTCACATATATAATATTTGATCAATAAAAAAAAATTATTAATCTGAAGAATTTTTTTCAATTTGTCATTCAAATACCCACAGAATTCATTCCTTTATTGGTTAGACTGGAGTGATCTCTCCAAGGTGCAGGATTAAGAGATGGTATATGAAGGCCATGCTCTGACGAAGCCACATAGCCTCACTCTAAACTGTACCAACAAGATCTAGAGGAATATAGGCCATTACATTTAGGGCCAGCATGGCTGTAGGAATTGCCAGAAGTTTGTCATTGTTGATGGCTAACTGCCTTCAGAGCTCTACTCTGTATTTTCTATCTGCATTTACTTCTATAGCTTTTCCTGCGAATATAGTCACAAGACAGTGAAGATTTAGAATCAGTGTTTTACTTCTGAGATGGACTACCTTCCCTGGCTGAAAAGCTCTATCTATCAAAAGCAACCCACTATATATAATGGCACTATCACAAATACATAAAATAGTATCAAAATATTACACAACATCTGAATTACAGGTATTATAGAAGGGAGGATGTTTACTAAAGGATCAATCTATACAGCCAGAGTGTTGGGTGTGAAGAAAGCTCAAGAAATACAATAAAGCAGACAGGTTTTGTACATGTAGGAACGATATTTTATATACAAACATTACTTTAATCAGAATGTAACAGGAATCCCCTTAGTTTTATCAATACATTTGAAAAGGTTTATTAATTTGATTAAATTAGTAGACCTTTTCTTACCTGACGTAGTTATCTCCCATGATAACTAAGCCATAGATAGTGACTATTAAACCAACAAGGGAGGCTGGAATCAGCATGGAGGTGTAAAAACCAAGCCAGGCAAAGTAAAGTCCGACTTTCTCACCAAAATATTCTCTGAAAAATAAAAAGAATTTATGTTAAGAAAATAATTAAACAAATAAGAATTACAAAATATTAATTTATACCATGTTAAAACCATACAATATGTGTTTTTTTACTCTTCTGAATTCATAAAAGTTTATTAAAAAAAATGTACCCCACCTATCCTATTAGCAAAAACAACTTTGGATTTTAGAGAAATTAAATATTTTCATGGAATAAAATAATTGTTCAGTCTCCAAATAAAATATTTTGAAAAGCATTATTTCTAATGATTTTAAATCTGTTTTTCCAACATTTAAAATTTTTAAATAGATTGATTTATTTTTCACATAAAATTGTCTATTTCACTGGTTAGCAGTGGGAAAAGAATCAATTCCCTAAATTATTTTAATTAAGAAAGCAATAGTATAGATTGATCAAGTGTGTCTTACTATTAAAAAATTAATTAGTCTATTTCAATTGTATACTCAACCATCTACACAGATAAACTTCTTGGATAAACCACAAAAAAGTAGAATAACCACTGAGAATTAAATTCACTTAATTGCAAGAAACATGAATTACATTATTATTATTATTACTATTGTGCATTCATATTTGATAAAAATTTTATATTTTTGTTTAAGAACTTTTGTTGAAATTCAAAAATTTATAAAGTACACACAAAATGAAGGACATAAGAGAATAAAAATCAGAAGAGGAAAAAAACAAAAGTGAAGCAATTTTTGTCAACATAAAAATAAATCAGCAAAATTTGTTTTAATATTTTTTTGTACAAATTAAATAACATTTTTACAATGGTTTATTGACTGGAATTGGTTAACTCTCACATATTAAACAATAGAATTTTGTTTTATAAGTTAAACTAGTATATTTCTACTATAAAAACAAGGTTATCTTCTGAATTGGCAATAGCATTGAAGAAAAAATAATAGTTACTGATCAGAGTTATTCTTTATTATGATGACTGCAATTGATGCCCATTCGAAAATTTAACATTCCTTTCCATCTGAAGCTATAGGAAGGGGATCCTATGATAGATGGTTCTTGATCTATGTGTATGAGATCCTTACAGTCATTGATAATATATTTTCCCCACTAAGACTTAAAAAAATAAAGGGGGATCTAAATTTACCAAGTAAATCAACCCATTCGTATTGTCTAATGTTTTCACTCCTAAAACACTGGAAAGAGTTTTCTTCCAGAGTTAACAAGATTCTTTTTATTTATTTTATTCCTTTTTATAACAATTTCCATGAATAATGTATTTAGTAGGATAAGTGTTATAAATGTTATAAAAGATGTATTGGCCAAAATATAAAACAATTTGTTGAATAATGTTTAATACCAAATTCATATATAGGAGAAAAATGGTTTTCTGATAATAGTAAAAAAAACTTTATTTACATATTATTATTATTATTATTAATATTAATAATAATAATGATATTAATATTAATAATAATTGTTGTGGGGCTCTCCCCTTTTTACATAAGATGGACTCATCCAAAGTATACTTATACTGACAGAGAGAATACCTGCGGTTGAGATACGTGGCGATACATTGAGACAGGTTGAGAGATACAGAAGCAGACACAGGGTGCTCTCAGAGAGTTACACAAGAGTCCAGAGAGAGAGAGAGAGAGATGATTACGGCTTTACTTACAGAGACTTTTACATATACTTTCTACTAACCCGCATTCCTGGACTACTAATCTTCACTTCAAGTCTGTATTCTTACGTTTAATACATTTATTTTTTTATCTCAATTACTGGCGTTGTTTATTTATTTGTGCAGGATTCCATTCACAGAATCCATAATAATAATAGAACCATCAAATTATTTTAAATTACAATTATAAAATAAATGCTAGAAATGAAATTATTAAACAAAATATTATTTCATTTATTTTAAAGTCTATAAGCCTGAGGATCTTGGTAAAGATCATCCTTCATGGAACATTGTGAACTGATGCTACAGAATCACAAAGAACTGTACCAAATAACAGAAACCACATCTCTTAAAGACTATCAACAGCTGCAACAACTAAAATGGATAGAACATATAACTTGAAGAGAAAATAATGACATAAGATGTTATCGTACCACACTACTTTAAATAAAAGGTTAGGAAGGAAACCCATATCAATACTGAAAAAAAAGTAATAACAATGACTGGGACTGGAGAATCCTATTTTTCTGAAAAATTGTTTTAATAGGAAGATTTTATAAATTTCAAAAGAAAGCAATACTGGCTGTTTGGTCATTGAATGCCAAATGTTTCCTTACAGGGAAACAGCTAACATTACCAATGCTTTCAGTTTTGTAATTATTAAAACAACTTTTTAATTGATACAACTGAAAAAGGCTGCTATACATATCTGATATTTAAAAGTTGCTTAATTAAAAACAACAAGAATGAAAATAATAATCCAAGAAACATGAATAATGAAAAAACAGTTTCGGATCTTTAGGAATAATAACCATTGTTTTAATTTCACTTAATAGTTGGTATTTTCTGGAACTTTAAAAATAAACAAAAAAACAACTTATTTAAAAAACTGAAGTACAAATATAAATTTCTCTTCTTATTGTCGCAGAGAAATCTCATTACTTACTTGATGTAGTGAAGGGGTTGAAATTTGAGGATTTGTGACCAATGGGCCCAGTTCTCATAAAGATCTTTCCGAATGTTTGATTTTGTGTCTTTTTTCCAGTGGCCCTGTAAAGGTCAAAGGAAAATTATTTGTTAGAAATTGAAAAAAAAATACATCAAAAGAACTGAATGAAACAATTTTGCAGTTTAAGTCACCATTTTTTTTAAGTTGACTATTTGTATTTTCACATGGAATGGGTGGGGTGACAAGAGTTACTTTCATCACAGTTGTTATATTAGGGTTTCATTAGTCAGATTTTTGTAATTTTTATTCAAAAACTTTAAAAACAAGTTGAAAGCTGGATTGTATGCAAATAAGTATTAACAAAATGGCAAATCAGATTCTACTGTTATTGTTAAATTTATTCAAGTCGGTTTGATTTGCAGGGGAATATTGATTTTGTTATTTCTATTTACAAAAACAATGTTTTTCAGATTAGCCTTCTCTTGATTTATTCATTGTTTTGTATTGAACTTGAGAAATATTAATATTAGATGCTAAGGATATCATGGACTGAACATGTGAGCAACAATAAGGTCTTGGAGAGGATGCAAACAAGGAGGAAGCTTATACTTAACATAAGGAAGATGCAGATGAAATTTCTGGGATACATAATGAGAAAAGTGGGCCTGGAGAATCTGATACTCATAGGTTGAATAGAGGAAAAAAGAGACAAGGGAAAGCAATGCATGACAAGTGGATGGCAGAACGTGGGCTGGAGGAGTTAGCAGAGGGATGAAACTTATTGAGGGCTACAAAGGATAGGATGAAATGAAGCGCTATGATTGCCTACATCCTGAAAGGACATGGCACATATAAAGAAAAGAAGAAGTTTCCAGTATTTTAATAAGAGAAAAGAGAAAGAAAAATTTATTGTACATTCAGTATCTAGTTTTCATAAGGAAGGGTGTTGGGAAATATTTCATACGTTTACTTCCGTCAATTCAATCCCGAGACAACACCACCTTAGTTGAAACTTTGTATTTATTATTTGCAGCCCAATATTTCAGCCAATCAACTCTTCCATTTTCACCAGGTGGAAGATGCATTGAAAGATTTTGAGACATTTAAACAAAAAGCTTCTCTCAATGTGTTGTTCCGTTCTCTGACTTTTATTAACCATTAGCCTGCTGTACCTAAGTGATTTCCTGTAATGAAAGAGATAATCACCTACCTCAAAAAAGAGTTTGTGTTTTGTGTGCAATCTGCCGAAGAAAGATTACCAAAAGTAGTTAGCAAAAATCTGCTACTTCAAGTATCAGAATCTATACTAATGTTCTTTCCTCCTCTGAATGGCGTGGCCAATGAGAAAAATTGCTCAGTGAATAAAAGCTGTTGTTTTTCACTTACGAGGGGAGGATTTTTTCTGAGCTTGGTGGATGAACATGTATTTTTGCTGGTGAGAAGAGAAGGTGGGATTTGTGACCCCATTTTGTTATTTCTATATTGCCTGTTGGACTGTTATGACAGACTATCATTTGAACTGTGATTTGGCTACAAGTGTTGTGAATGAGACAGAAAAAACCTATTGCAGGCATTTATTGCTGCTATAAGTTTAGAGTTTTTTTTCTTTACAACAACACTTCCTTTGTCAAACAAAATTTTTGTCTAGCCATGACATGCAACTCTGATCATCAGTCAATAGTGTGGTTGAATTCTTACACTATTGTTGCTATATCCTACTTTGGCAACAGAAAAATGGCTAACTGAAAATTGAAGATAATGCTACTACGGTTGTGTGGCTACTTATGCCCAATGGATGAGGATGAAATACTTATGAATACTGCAGAGTGCTAAAAGTTAAAGAATTTCATCTTCATTAGAATTAAACTCTTGTTCCCTTTATATGCAACATGTCAGTTTCCACAGACTTGGTCCTCATCCAAAATAAAAAGAACTGAATAAGCATTAACAGATCCGATATGACCACTATACAGTAATGCCCAGTACAGTTGTAAGGGTCAGCAAATATGCCATGCCGATGGTATATGACTGAAAAACTGAATTTATATATGCATGAGAAGATATCACTGGATATTTTCCCCATAAATAACTGGACAATGAAGACAATAAAAATTTTTTATAAAAAATTAAAAAAAAAAAAAAAAATCAATATGATGATAAAAGTGACTGAATGTATTTTGGGAACGTTTAAATATCAATTATAACAGAGTGAGTGATAGGAGTGATAGGAGTGTTTAACTGGAAAAATTGAGAGAGATCAAAAATTTACCTCGTGTAATGGAAAACATGAAATGTAGTAGCCATCGCTTATCATTTTCTTTATACCTGCAAAGTGCAAAGAAAGACACATGAATTGAGAATAATTCTTTGAGAGGAAATAAAGGACAAAATTTAATGCTCTACACAATCGAGTATTCTTTTCTTCTATTAAAGTCTTAGAATTATTATTTTTTAATATGTCTGACATATATTGGCAATTGTATACCTTGCTTATATATGCTTTGTATGACATATTTGGCTGTCCTTTTGACAACAAAAACAAAACAAAAAAAAAACTGATCATGCCTTATATTGTTATAAGTACCCACAAAAGTGAAAACACACACTGCGTGTCAAAAGCCATTTTGTAATACAACATGCTGAAGCCACCTTACCAAATGAATATGCTTTTGAATCTTCACTGCCGAAAGCTGTTCTCCTCAAAATGTAATCCACAATCCTCGATCGCATCCCTTGGGTAAAAATATTTTCATGGTTTTCAGGAAATTCATAGCTGATAAATTAAACAAATTTTTTAAAAATTAGTATTTATAATGGTAATTTTGATAGTAATAAAATAATCACAAAAAAATTAAATAAATTTATTGCATTTGATAACATAATATGCATACCTCATGTTTTACATGCAAAGTTGAGGCCACTTATAGGCTATAAATTTTACCTCAGACTATCACTTCTACCAAACTCTACAATATTTACTCAAATGAAATTATTATTATTACCAGTACAATAAAAGAATTGTAACTGTAGAGTCCCAAATCAAATTTAATGTTCATATGGAAATTTGATTTAACCCCAATATGTACTTGACTCACCCTAAAAGATACCAACAAAAGTTGTGTACACAATGTCATTTCAGAAGTCAAAAGACCAAAGTACTTTGAACATTGACCTAAAAGGAAACCTCAAAGCCACCAGGGGCAGAATCAGGCCTCAAAGGATGTTGGTAGTTGCACTATCACAAATCAGGAAGTGAACCCAGATGAACTTGGGATATACATACACAAGACAACTGAATGATATATAAAATTTATATAAATGCTCAACCTACAGAGAGAGAGAGAGAGAGACAATCCCTCACACCCTCATGAGAAAAAGTTAGAAGACCAAAAGTTGTATACTCTAGATTTGGTCATCGTTAATTTGTTAGGCTTGTATTCTTATCAGACATTTAGGAAGTGCGAATAACAGCTTCCGTTAAATCAATCATTCTGCTGTGTTCCTGTATTTAGAGATTTTTGGGGTTTTTTTTTTTTATGTTTTGTTGTTCATTTTTTATATCTTTTTTTTTTTTTTTAATTTTTTCACATAAAAATGTAACAAGGAAAAAAAAGAAAATAAAAAATCCCTGATTTTTATCAGTCCCAAAAATTAATCTTGGTGGTGGGGAGGCCAGCAAATTTATGCTTAAATTAATGTAATAATTATGTGAAGAAATTTGAAAAACTAACCAAGTGGAAAAGAGAAGTCCAAAGAAAGCCTCAAGTTGAAGAATATGCAATAAAGAAACAAGCCAAGCATTGGTGTACCAATACACTAGATCATTCCAATTATTTTAATAATACCGGTGCTTATAAAAGAATGGATCCTTAATTTTCTTTTACGGCCTTTTCATCTTCCACTTGGATGATTCTAAAACCTCTCTTTGTTTTGTTTTTTTTAAAAAGAAATATTTTATCAATGTTATCCTGAAAATAAAAATCCACAAGTTCAAAAACAAAAGGAAATTATTAGCACTCTATGAACTTTATAGGAGTCATGTAACAACCAATATATTTGTTTCTGATGATATGGTTTAAAAAAAAAAAAAAATTGGGGCATTTAATATGCAGAGTATATCACGAGCCCTAATGGTTTTTCAGAAATAAAAATTAGATTGTAATGTGAAAGGAAATAAGGGGAGGAAATTCAAAGACAGAAAAACAAATTTTGTGAGTTCTAAAAAGTTTAAAGTAAATTATTTTTAACTAGCTGAGGTACCTGGCATTGCCTGCGTGTACATGGCTGCAATTGTATAACCACACCCTGCTGTCTAGAAATGTCTGCATGCTTCCCTGCTTGCATGTATTATCTGTTGGTATACTAAGCTACTCCCCAACATCATCTTTTTTACAATAAGTCATTCGAAAGTATTTGATTGTTCTTAATAAAGGAATTCCATCAATAAAACCTTCTTGAGTCGTTGTTGCTCAGGGTTAAATTGCTTCAATGTTTTAGATATTCAGTAAATTTCCTCTGGCCATAATAACTTTCAAATAGTATGGCATTGTTCACAAATCTAATAATCAAACAAAAACAGGGATGATGTGCCAGAGCTTGATTCAACTGCAAGTGCAAACGCATGAACGCCCCCCCCCAACTCTTCTTCACATGTTTACTGTAAAGCTGGGGTTAATAAAAGGTTCTTTGGGAATTTTTTCCTTTTAATGCTTCAATGATCTTTCTCAAACAATCTTTTTGTCAAAGGTTGTTTGAATTTTGGATGGAATCATATAAAGAATCTATTGGCTAAATGGTAAAAGCTGATTTTGGTCCTAGTTTGTCGTAGATTTCATCCAATTAACTGAAATAATCTCAACCAAACATTCATGCAAGACAATTTGAATGTCATATTTAATTTACATGGCAAATTTGGAAAGCATTGAATGAAAAACCAGGGAGTTATGGCTGAAAAATGGGCTTTTTGAACAGCTTTTCATGGTTTTCGTTATACACGGAGAAGTGAGCAGGACTAAAACCACACTATCTTATTTCTTGCAGGATGTTTGAAGAATATTGGATAACAAATGAGGAAGTCATTCAAATTTTTATGTTTTTTATGTTAAGTATGAAAAAACCTGTTTTTATGTTAAGTATGAAAAACCTGTTTTTATGTTAAGTATGAAAAACCTGTTTTTATGTTAAGTAGTGAAAAACCTGTTTTTTATGTTGAAAACCTGTTTTTAGTATATGAAAAACCTGTTTTTTATGTTAAGTATGAAAAACCTGTTTTTTTTATGTTAAGTATGAAAACCTGTTTTTATGTTAAGTATGAAAAACCTGTTTTATGTTAAGTATGAAAACCTGTTTTTATGTTAAGTATGAAAAACCTGTTTTTATGTTAAGTATGAAAAAACCTGTTTTTATTTAAGTATGAAAAAACCTGTTTTTTTATGTTAAGTATGAAAAACCTGTTTTTTTTTATGTTAAGAAAACCTGTTTTTATGTAAAAAACCTGTTTTTATTTTTGAAAAACCTGTTTTTAAGTTAGTATGAAAAACCTGTTTTTATGTTAAGTATGAAAAACCTGTTTTTATGTTAAGTGTAAAAAACCTGTTTTTATGTTAAGTATGAAAAACCTGTTTTTATGTTAAGTATGAAAAACCTGTTTTATGTTAAGTATGTTATGAAAAACCTGTTTTATGTTTATGAAAAAACCTGTTTTTTATGTTAAGTATGAAAAACCTGTTTTTTTTATGTTAAGTATGAAAAACCTGTTTTTATGTTAAGTATGAAAAAAACCTGTTTTTATGTTAAGTATGAAAAACCTGTTTTTATGTTGTGAAAAAACCTGTTTTTATGTTATATGAAAACCTGTTTTTATGTTAAGTATATAAAAAACCTGTTTTTGTTGAAAAACCTGTTTTTATGTTAAGTATGAAAAACCTGTTTTTTATGTTAAGTATGAAAAACCTGTTTTTTATGTTAAGTATGAAAAACCTGTTTTTTATGTTAAGTATGAAAAACCTGTTTTTATGTTAAGTATGAAAAAACCTGTTTTTTTATGTTAAGTATGAAAACCTGTTTTTTATGTTAAGTAGTATGAAAAACCTGTTTTTATGTTAGTAGTATGAAAAACCTGTTTTTATGTTAAGTATGAAAAACCTGTTTTTTATGTTAAGTATGAAAAAACCTGTTTTTTTTTATATGAAAACCTGTTTTTATGTTAAGTATGAAAAAACCTTTTTTTATGTTAAGTATGAAAAACCTGTTTTTTTTATGTTAAGTATGAAAAAACCTGTTTTTATGTTAAGTATGAAAAAACCTGTTTTTATGTTAAGTATGAAAAACCTGTTTTTTTATATGAAAGTATGAAAAACCTGTTTTTATGTTAAGTATGAAAAACCTGTTTTTATGTTAAGTATGAAAAACCTGTTTTATGTTAAGTATGAAAAACCTGTTTTATGTTAAGTATGAAAACCTGTTTTATATGAAAAGTATGAAAACCTGTTTTTTTATGTTAAGTATGAAAAACCTGTTTTTATGTTAAGTATGAAAAACCTGTTTTTATGTTAAGTATGAAAAACCTGTTTTTATGTTAAGTATGAAAAACCTGTTTTTATGTTAAGTATGAAAAACCTGTTTTTATGTTAAGTATGAAAAACCTGTTTTTTTATGAAAACCTGTTTTAAGTATGAAAACCTGTTTTTTATGTTAAAGTATGAAAAACCTGTTTTTATGTTAAGTATGAAAAACCTGTTTTATGTTAAGTATAAAAAACCTGTTTTTTATGTTAAGTATGAAAAACCTGTTTTATGTTAAAGTAGTATGAAAAACCTGTTTTTTATGTTAAGTATGAAAAACCTGTTTTTTTTTATGTTAAGTATGAAAAACCTGTTTTTATGTTAAGTATGAAAAACCTGTTTTTTTATGTTAAGTATGAAAAACCTGTTTTTTTATGTTAAGTATGAAAACCTGTTTTATGTTGTTAGAAAAACCTGTTTTTTTATGAAGTATGAAAACCTGTTTTTATGTTAAGTATGAAAAACCTGTTTTATGTTGAAAACCTGTTTTTTATGTTAAGTATGAAAAACCTGTTTTTATGTTAAGTATGAAAAACCTGTTTTTTATGTTAAGTATGAAAAACCTGTTTTATGTTAAGTATGAAAAACCTGTTTTATGTTTATATGAAAAACCTGTTTTTATGTTAAGTATGAAAACCTGTTTTTTATGTTAAGTATGAAAAACCTGTATAGAAAAACCTGTTTTTTTATGAAAAACCTGTTTTTTATGTTAAGTATGTTAAAAAAACCTGTTTTTATGTTAAGTTTTATGAAAACCTGTTTTTATGAAAACCTACTTTTAAGTATATGAAAAACCTGTTTTTATGTTAAGTATGAAAAACCTGTTTTTTATGTTAAGTATGAAAAACCTGTTTTTATGTTAAGTATGAAAAACCTGTTTTTTATGTTAAGTATGAAAAACCTGTTTTTATGTTAAGTATGAAAAACCTGTTTTTTATGTTAAGTATGAAAAACCTGTTTTATGTTAAGTATGAAAAACCTGTTTTTATGTTAAGTATGAAAACCTGTTTTATTTAAGTATGAAAACCTGTTTTTTATGTTAAGTATGAAAAACCTTTTTTATGTTAAGTATGAAAAACCTGTTTTTTATGTTAAGTATGAAAAACCTGTTTTTATGTTAAGTATGAAAACCTGTTTTTTTATGTTAAGTATGAAAAACCTGTTTTTTATGTTAAGTATGAAAAACCTGTTTTTTTTATGTTAAGTATGAAAAACCTGTTTTTTATGTTAAGTATGAAAAACCTGTTTTTATGTTAAGTATGAAAAACCTGTTTTTTATGTTAAGTATGAAAACCTGTTTTTATGTTAAGTATGAAAAACCTGTTTTGAAAAACCTGTTTTTATGTTAATGAAAAACCTGTTTTTATGTTAAGTATGAAAAACCTGTTTTATGTTAAGTATGAAAAACCTGTTTTTTTATGTTAAGTATGAAAAACCTGTTTTTATTTAAGTATGAAAAAACCTGTTTTTATGTTAAGTATGAAAAACCTGTTTTTATGTTAAGTATGAAAAACCTGTTTTTTATGTTAAGTATGAAAAACCTGTTTTATGTTAAGTATGAAAAACCTGTTTTTATGTTAAGTATGAAAAACCTGTTTTTTATGTTAAGTATGAAAACCTGTTTTTATGTTAAGTATGAAAAACCTGTTTTTTTTATGTTAAGTATGAAAAACCTGTTTTTATGTTAAGTATGAAAAACCTGTTTTATGTTAAGTATGAAAAACCTGTTTTTATGTTAAGTATGAAAAACCTGTTTTTTTATGTTGTTAAGTATGAAAACCTGTTTTTTTTATGTTAAGTATGAAAAACCTGTTTTATGTTAAGTATGAAAACCTGTTTTTATGTTAAGTATGAAAAACCTGTTTTTATGTTAAGTATGAAAAACCTGTTTTTTTATAAGTATGAAAAACCTGTTTTTATGTTAAGTATGAAAACCTGTTTTTTTATGTTAAGTATGAAAAACCTGTTTTTTATGTTAAGTATGAAAAACCTTTTTTATGTTAAGTATGAAAAACCTGTTTTTTATGTTAAGTATGAAAAACCTGTTTTATGTTAAGTATGAAAACCTGTTTTTATGTTAAGTATGAAAACCTGTTTTTTTATGTTGAAAAAAAGTATGAAAAACCTGTTTTTTTTATGTTAAGTATGAAAACCTGTTTTTATGTTAAGTATGAAAACCTGTTTTTTATGTTAAGTATGAAAAACCTGTTTTTATGTTAGTATGAAAAACCTGTTTTTTTTATGTTAAGTATGAAAAACCTGTTTTATGAAAAACCTGTTAAGTATGAAAAACCTGTTTTTTTTGTTAAGTATGAAAAACCTGTTTTTATGTTAAGTATGAAAAACCTGTTTTTATGTTAAGTATGAAAAACCTGTTTTTTTTTATGTTAAGTATGAAAAACCTGTTTTTTTCAGTTTTTTTCAGTTTTTTGTCTGAAGTCAATGTCACAGGAAAACTATCAAGCACTCTTCATAAACCTCATAACATGAGCGATGTTTGACATTAAGTGAAAAGAACATCAGCTTATCCAGTAAAAAATTTTGTTCACATGTAACTTTGCCTTGGTTTTTGCAAAAAGTCGTATCCACCTTCAGTTTTATTGATTTTTCTGCCAAACATGGGGGGGCCTGGAGATTAAAAAGTTGGTCATGACCTACCTTGGTAAATTTTCAGCTCATCCATTCTCCAGCCTTCCACAAGCGGATGTAATATTTGGTAAATAATTCAGCAATGTATATAAGATACAATTAAGACTATTCACATTCACTTGAAAAAGCCTGGAGAAGAGGCTGTCAAAACTTTACATAACAACTTATCTTAAAATTTCAAATAAAACTTTCCCATCACTTTCACACTAACAGGTTTCACCAACTGTGTATCAAACTGGAATATGTAGATCTAAGTAGGTAATATTTTTAGCTTGATGCTCAAGAGTAGAGTTTAGAGTGTCACACTTACATAAATTCTTTGTCACGTGTATAAGCACATTTGTATTTCTTGGTCATACGTTTGAAAACTTCTTGGTTACACAAGAATGGACTCTTTAGTTTATTGGCAAGGTCTTGGAGAGAGCTCCAACAGCGCTGAGCAAGACTGGGAGTACTGACCACCTGGATAAAGTCAGACAAGAATCAATTAGTTGCAAATCAAGAAAGAAAAGAAAACAACAAATATATACTGGTCAACATGAATTAAATATTTAAATAAAAAGAAAGAAAGAAAATTCGTTTTGACTAAAAGTAAATTGTCAAAAATAAAGAGATTTTAATTTTGGTTTATTGGCATATATGTCATTTTATTTGAGAAATGAAGAGAATGGTAATGCCTACAACCTGCAAAAGGCCCATTTTTCTTTTTTTGAGTTTAAACCAATACTAGTGTAATTAAATAACTATAATTAGTGTACTCAGATAAGGAGGCATGGTGTAGTAATGGATAGCAGCTCAGATTGAGGAATTGGAGAGCCGAGTTTTAATTCTAGTTGAATCCATTACATTCATTTACATGCTAATACCGTTGGGAAAGGTATGAATCCACTTCTTCTTCCCCCAGCTATGGGTAAATAGCAGGAAGATTGGGTTCTATAGCCTTGGATAGCAACTGGTCTACCGCAGAAAGAAATGGCAATCTACGGTGGGAAAAAAAAAATCTGCCTCATCAGTCAGGATTGCCTAAGCATGTATCATGCATGGCATATAACTGACTGAAATAACTTCTAAATCTACATTATCCTAAGAGTGGATCATTCAGTCATATCAATACTTTGAATATGAGGGATTACTTTAAAAAAAAAAAAAAAAAAAAAAAAATTCCAAAAGAGATCATTTCGGTTTTATTTTTTTTACTTGATATATAAGGATTCATTGCAAATATTAAACAATCTTTTCTTCAGAGAATTTATGCTCTTAACACAGTACTTCGGCTGATCTATCCTACAGCCTTCTTCAGGAGAGTCACATTTTGTTTACAGAACAAGATTACAAACAAAAAATAGCAGCTGATCTAATCCTATACAAGTAACAAACTTAGTTTTTAAAAAAGAAAAAAAAACTTAAAAACCTGTTATAACACTCAAAAAACCTGTTACATCACTCAAAGAACTGCATAAAACATTTGAAACATTTTCATATTATGGTTAAAGTTACAAAAAGGCCATTTTTGCAAGTTATAAAACAGCTTATTCTTAAAAAACTGCATTAGAATAGTACATTAAAAGAAAGGTATTACAAGAAAAATTAAATACCAAATTCTAATTACAGATCTAAAAATTAATGAAAGGTATAATCACTATTTTAAAGGATTAATCATTAAAAAAGCAAAATATAAATCAGGCTTTGTTATAAAAAGGTTCTCATCCAAAATTGATTTTCTCAGCTACAAAAAGGGAACATTTTAAAATATTACTTTTAAAATGACATGAAATTATCTGATATCGTTATTGTAGAGAAGAGGATGTACATTCTTTTAATATATTTACTGAAAACTACAACAGTTAAAGAACAGAAATAAAAAGAAAAAACTATATTACTAAATATTTATTTGCATAAATCACATTAGTAAATATGAATAAATAAAAAGCAAACATTTGTGGAATGAAAAAAAAGTCTTGTCTTTGAAAAACTCCATTAAAATGAAAGCCAAGCCACAATTGGAGGGAAAAATATTTCATAAAATAAGTCAGAAGTGGGATGCACAGTTTTTAAATAATAATAATAATAATAATGATGTTGATGATGAAAAAAAAAAAAAAAAAGAAGAGTGGTTGCCTGAAAGGAGAAAGAATAAATTAAAATTTATTTCTGAACATACTATTTATCTTGTTAGTCTCTTGATTATGTTCGGAAATGAAACCTTGAGAACTTTAAATACTTACCAGAAAGTAAATAATACCATACTGGAACTAATAGAGGATAGATGATAATAATACAGAGAACTATTCATTAAATTACCTCCCCTTAAGAAAAATGAATCTTGTCCAAAAAATTTGGGACATTTTTATGCAAAAATTGTATAAAGCATAGCATGCTAGCAGGATTTATACATGGGCAAACAAATTCTTTATTCATAGCAAAGAAATAAAGGAATAACCAATAAAGTTCTGATAAAATAGATTTATAAATGTTAAAGCATTTTTGTCATGTGAAGATCATATGTATATAATTTTCATTAATCTCAGATTTTATTACTTAAATGTTATCTTTAGTGGCTACTCATATTTGAATAGAAGCTTCGTTTATTTCTTAAGCAGTATATTTATTTTCATCTACTGGCCTGAATATTCAGAAATCTTATCAGAGGAAAATATGTGCTCTCTGGCATAGATTTGAACCTGCATTCCCTTGAAGAAACCATTATTAGATCTGACATGCCTATTTTTCTCTAATATTCAGGCCAATAGATGAAAATAAATACACTTGTTAGCAAATACATGGAGTGTCTACTCAAATACAATAATTATATATATATATATATATATATATATATATATATATATATATGTATAACCTATTGAGCCATATATATATATATATATATATATATATAAAAAAAAAAAACTTTCAAACTGAACAAAGTAAATAAATATGCAATTTTTGGAAATGACAATGTTGAGGATTTTCTCTAAAAATAAAGAAAATTTTATCTGGTTCCTTTTTACTCTTTACTGATAGAAATAAAGAATTATTCTTTACAGTCAGTAAAATAAATTATTTTTTACTTAGATGGATTTTGCCTTGAGTTTTTTTTTTTTTTAATTGAAAAAATATCAAATTAAGATTAAAATATGTTTTTACAATATAAATTTGAAAGTTTTTATTAAGATAAAATTTCTTTGTGTGTGTGTGTGTGTGTGTGCATATATATATATATATATATATATATATAAAATATTCAATTTTTTTCTGACACTGTGTATTTTATCTTCAATGAAGGTTTTTCCCTTAAATATGAAATTTATTTCCCCAAAAACTTGAACAGGTTAACGTAAATAGCATAAATAAGGTTGAAGACAATTTTTCATGAAGCAAAATGCAGCCAATGCAACAAAAGAAAAATGAATTGTAGAATTGTTTAAAGAATCGGAAATGAATTGTAATTCTTTATTCATAGCAAAGAAATAAAGGAATAACCAGTTTAAAGAAGCTTCAATATTTAAAGAACTGTGCTGCAAACATATTTTCTTAGATTACTTACCATTTCTTCAGAAAATTTGGTAGCTGATCATGAAAGCAACACAGATAATTTGCAATCAAAATTTCTAAGACAGAAAGGAAGAAAATAAGCCTCAATAATTTTTCAAGGGTTCATTTAGACTAGTATTTTCAGTTTGTTGCTTTGGCCAGTAGGCTTTTGAACCTCCTCATCTATATGTCATATACTAATCTTTTTGTTGCCTTCTCACTAGTTCAAATGACAAAGAACCTTCTAGTACCAATAAAATGATTGATGCTTGGAAGAAAATTGCGTGTGTGTGTGTGTGTGTGTGCACATAAGAGAGAAAAATTACAATATGTAACAGAAATCTAACAGTTGATCAAAGAGCCCACCAGCCAAAATAAGAGAGGCAATATCTGAAAATGTCGTTTGCCCAAAAACTGGCTTCACTGAAACCGTTAAACAGAATCTTCCCTTCGTCAAATAATTCACTTCACCAACAAATCAAGGTAGAAAATTAAAGGGAGATCTTTTTTATATCTGAATAGTGTTTTTTTTTTTTTTAATTATGTAACATTTAAAATGATACATATTGAAAGCAAGAGGAAAGCTGTGAATAACTTACCTAATAAGATTGTGTAAATAGTTGTCAGAAAAGGAATTAGAAAAGATAATAAAATGGCAAATTTACTAAAAGTTGAAAAGGACAAAAAATTGAAGCAAGCCATGATCGCCCACATCATGAAGGGACATGGCTAATAGAAGATCATTTAAAAAGTTTGTCACGGAAGTTTTTACTTGTGTAATTATGTTATTTAATATTTTGGTTGCATTATAGGAATATTTAAAAACAAACAGTTAAATACTTATCTAAGGACCTCCACAAAAAACGCAATACTTAATGTTTGGAAGGAAATTCTAAAAATCAAAACTCTTTCTTGAAACATTTATTTTAGTTTTAATTTCAAGCTAATAGATTAAATTTAATATTTCAAATGAGCAAAATACTTTCAAAAACTAATTTAAATTGACTGGAAATAATTTTATTTTGCTAAAATAGCTGATTAGAGCCCTCTTAAGACATCTTTCATTACAATATAATTCTCTTTATTAAAAAATCTAAATATAAAATGTAGTTTTCTGAAACTTTATTTGAGGAATATTAACTGATTTAAAGTATAATTGTTATGATGTTGATTTGGGGTTAGTAGAGACAAACGCCAAATAACACGTAACAATAAAAAGGGTTTTAATAGGTTGGTAAATAGGTACAGAATTCGCCTGAGTAGTCTATAACTAGCTCAGCTAAGAACTTCTCGGACTCTGTCTTTTGACATGCCACTATTTAAAGTCTTTGTTTGTAGACAAGTTCATCTTCAAGAGGGGTGGTAGGTTTCCTACACAACAATAATAAATCAGATTTGAAACCAATATTTACTTTATGCTTAATATACCACAGAAATGGATTTTTTAACCCAACAGTAGCTGTGTTGATGTGTTTTGACAGTGTGATGACAGATCTAATGTTCTACAGAGACTTTATCTGTAAAACAAATTGAAGAAAATGATGTGATCACCCTTCTTATTTAACTTTTAAGTACTCCATAATCTAAAAAATTTTGATAAATATTCACCATAATTTAATGTTTTATTGAATTTTTGGGTTTAAATTTACTATAGTCATCACCTTTATTTTCTGATAATGTTACACATGGTCGCCCATACTTACAAAACTTGGCACATTTATACGCATACCAAAAAAAAAAAAAATTATTTTTAAAATATTGGTATTTGATGATTTGTACTAAGCTTTTTAATTTATGATTAGTAAATATTGTTTTCACTTAATAATATCATCTAAAAGGCTGAAATTAATACAAAATTTTAAACGATTTAAAACTTAATAAATTTTTATGATTAAAATTTTTAAAAAGAAAGACAATTTTTGTAAAAATTCATTATTCATTGGAAAATTTTTTTAAGATAATAGTCTCCTTAATATATCTTATTTATAAAAGCAATTAGAAGCTTTTCTAATTAAGTAATGTCTTAAATTTATTGCATTTTTTATTTTAAAATTCTGAGCAGATTTTCAGTAAATGGTGTTTCTATTTGACAAAAGCAAATTGATTTAAATTCTCCAATTTAACTAATATAAATAAATATAAATAACTTGGACCGATTTTAAATGTGAATTAAGTTTAAGTGTCCAATGATTTTTTCTTTTTCCTTCAGATTTAACAACTTTTCTGGCAATTTCAGCCATGGAAAGATTAACAATCAAACAACGTGTTAAAGTTTCAAGAGTGCAATTGGAAAAAATTGTTTGTAAATTCAAACAAACTGGGTTGGTGGCAGATGTGGAAACATCATTGCGTGCTCGTTTATGCAGTTCAGCTGAAAACATTGCTGCAGTGCATGAGAATGTAGCCGGAAATCCAGACACCTATATTCGTCATCACACGCAGGAATTGAACCTCTCCAGAACAACATTACATCATTTCCAATTGCACTCTCGGTCGGTAATGTTGACCAAAAAAAAAAAAAAATATCACAAAGTGCATGAAATGCATTTCTGTTTGAACATACAATTTTGTAATGGGCTTCAATAACTTTACCATGTTGTTTGATTGTTAATCTTTCCATGGTTGAAATTGCCAAAGACTTAAGTTGTTAAATCTGAATAAAAAAGAAAAAAAAAAATCATTAGATGCTTAAATTTAATTCCCATTTAAAATTGGTCCAAGTTATTGGAAGAGGCTGGAAATTTTAATTTCTCAGAAAAAAAAAAAAAAAACACATCATTGATTTGTGAATAAGTCCTAAAGATTTAATTAAAATCCAACAACTATTTGATTTTTGCAAGAATTTCCAAAACAATGTTTTTTACTGAAAAAAAAAACCCCACTAAATTTCCTATACTTTCCACCTGCTGACACAAGAAAAGCAAGATTTTTTTTAAACCAAAATTTCTAATGTGCTAGAAAGGATTAAAAAATTTAATAAAATAATGAAAAAATACTTTGGACTTTCCTCTTAATAATAAGAAATATTTTGATGATAAAACTTAATTTATCAAGTTTGGGGCAATTTTCATAATGGTATGCTTGTATTTAGAAAGTTTTTGGGAGGTACCTATATTTATCCTATGCAAAATATCTCCATAAATAAATTAAATATAGTCTTCTGTATTAATTCATATTATTCTTTCTATTTATTTTAATATTTATATTTGAATCATTTCTTTTATTTTTGTTACCCCTGACCCCACCAAAAATCATCAATTTTTTGGCTTTAACTGACTTCAACATTAAATAATCCTCCAAAACCTACTGACTTGATATCAATCATTCAATTATCATAAATAAGCAACAATTAAATTAACAAGTGTAAACGATATACAATTTATGAAAATCACCATCCAGATATAATTTTTATCTCCCTTTAATTTTCTATGAATTTTTCAGTGAAGTGAACCATTTGACAAAGCGAAGATTCAACTCAATGGTTTCACTAAAGCAAGTTTTCAAACAAATGACACTTTTATGAACCTCAAAATAGTAAATAAAATAAACATGAGAATACTAGTCTGGCTACTTCCCAAAACAATGATCCAATTTCACCTCAAAAGTAAAGCTAAGATGGTAACTATTTTATATAAAAGGACTAAAAATGTTTGATGTTTGATTTAATATGAGATGGTAGGAGACAAAAATAAAATGACAGTAACAAAAAAAAAAAAAGAAAAAAAAAAGAAAAAGAAAAAAAATCCATCCCAAGTAAGTTTTCTCTAACTTCCCTCCAGTTGTTAGCAAAGTTTGTTGTCATGCAAAGGAATTAAATAACCATGCAATCAAAATCTATCTACCAGAAATGCTTCCTTTCAATCACAAAACAAAAACTACTTATTGGTCCATTAATATTTGCAGAGAAAATACTTGGAAGGCACCATAAAATAGAAATAACTTTTTCAAAAAACTTTACACAATAGCAAGTCTTTCTGACTCAAGAAATAAAATAAATGAATCTATTGAATGCTTTCAATGTGGGATAAAATTGAGATCATGGTATACAGGGGATATGTCTTTCTAAAAACCTTTGTTGGCCTTTATTTATTTTATTTTATTTTTTTTACAGGCCATGAAAAAAAACAAAAAAAAACAAATGTGATTTACTGAATGTTTTAGATTTATATTATATATATATATATATATATATATATATATATATATATATATATATTAGATAAAATATATATAGAGAGAGAGAGAGACTTGGCAGCATTTTGAAGTAATACAATGAGAATAAGATTTAGTAAATTGTGGTTTTGTATTTGTAAATATTTTTGACAGCATAAACTTTACAGCACCCCTTCATACAGAAAAATTAGACTGTTTTGTACAAAGAAATGGATTTGGTAACTTACAAACTTATGCATTTTAAATGACCTCTCAAAAAAGCAGACAACTAGATTTGGGGTGGGTCTTCATTTAAATAACTACCTTTCTTTCCCAAAGAAAATTCCCATATCAGAGTGTTAAAATGGACAATAGTCTGTGGATCCTAAAACTTGACTCCATTATTATTGCACTAAATTAAAATGATAGCATAACACATTTTATGTACTTATGCCTTGATTTAAAAAAAAAAAAAAATTAACACTTATATTTTTGATCAGACACTCTTCAGTACAGACTAAGGTAAACAGGACAGCCTCAACAAACAATATAATCAAAATGCATAAGATGGGTCACATTGTTTGGTTTGTTTTGTTTTACGGCATATCAACCTCAATGGGTTACTTAATGCTGACAAGATTTTTACTGCTGGTAATTTTTTTTTTTTTTCCAAAAGTGTATTGCAGGTAAATTTTTTTTTTTTTAAATGTATTGCTGGTAATAATTTTTTACAAACTATTTCTGGTATTCTATTTTTACACTTTCATAGTGTTTTGACCTCAGTTTGGGGGTTAACTATTTACCCATAGAATCTGGGAACAACAGCAATTAAGAGGTGGTTCCATGCTCCTCAAAACCTCCTGATCAGAGGCCTTGCTGCTGGATGTAGTTTATCGTATTATTCAGGACATAATGTAATTTAATGTCATACCCAGGATGAGGGTCACATTGTACACTACTACATGCCTAGGCTGGTTTGGAAATAGCACTAGTTTATAATGCAAATGCTAGGGACCAACATTTGACTGTGTTTTGAAAATGTATATATACATAGACAACGGGCAATATAAGTTTTGTAAAGATGTATGAGAATTTTTCATAAAGTGATAATCAGAAGCACAAATATCATCAAAAATGTGCAAAGATGATTGAACTTCCTGCATGTTCCCCAGATTTCGCTCCAATGAACTTTTTTCTTTTTTTTTTCTATTTTTTTTAATGGGGAAACCTCAAAGATAAGGTTTATTGCACAAAACCAGCAAAACTTGATGAACTGTAAGTTAAAATTGTGAGAAAATGTCTCCCAGTTCTAAATGACATGCTTCATAATATTGTCAAATCCATTGATCAGTGTTATCAGCTGTGTTTGAAAAAAATGGTGATCATCAGTTTGAATATTTATAAACATACATTTAATTTCATATAATATGAAATGTTAATCTTTGTAATGCAATAAGCATTAATATTTCTTAATTTTAACCATTAATCTTGTTTCCAAGTCAATAAACACTGCATTTATTGTCACTTAAAGAGTGAGTACAGCTTTTTGGAGCACTGTGTGTGTGTGTGTATATATATATATATAAAACAACAGATACATTTCATAAAGACATAAAGAAGAGTAACAGAAAAAAAAAAACCCTGATCTTTTTCCTTTTGAAAGGGGAGGTACAATATGGAGATTCCCAGTTTCAAGATCATTATTACATAAATAGAAACATTATTCTGAGAATGTCAGGATCTTTCCTTGAAGAACAAAAAGAAGAATAATGATCCCCAAAACCAAAGCCAATAAAACACAAGGCTTTGAAAAATGTGCATTAAACATTATCCTGTTGTTTTGTTGTCTTATAAGTGTACATATCCAGTAGGAAAAATTAGAGACTTAATATTTGATGTGCATAAAAAGTAAAAAAAAAAAAAAACAATATTATTTTTAGACAATTTGTAAGAAATTTAAAAAAAATGAACATCTGTAAATTTAAGTGAATCGCAGGCAGTCTAAGACAAAAAATAAAAAGTCATAGAATTGGCAATTGTTTAACATAATGCTGAAAAGAGAAAGGATTTGTAAAATTCTAAGAGAAAATAATTGTTATAAATTTAGATTGTAATAATGTGCTAAGATATATTTAGAAATAAATCACATGGGAAAAACAACAAATTGAATAATAATAATAATAATAAAAAAATTGCCAGTAATTAGTAATTGTGATTTAAATGTGTTATGTGTTTGTGAAAGAATCCCAACACTTATGTAGTGACAACATTAACCATAAAATGTGTTTGAGAAATAAAAAGGAAAAAATAAGGTGTGGGGGGGGGGTACGGGAGGAGAGGGAAAGGGGAGAGAGAGAGGGGAGAGAGGGAAAGGAGAGAGAGAGGAGAGGGAAAGGAGAGAGAGAGAGGAGAGGGAAAGGAGAGCGAGGAGAGGGAAAGGAGAGAGAGGAGAGGGAAAGGAGAGAGAGGAGAGGGAAAGGAGAGAGAGAGAGGAGAGGGAAAGGAGAGAGAGAGAGGAGAGGGAAAGGAGAGAGAGAGAGGAGGGAAGAGAGGGAGGAGAGAGAGAGAGGGAGAGAGAGAGGGAAGGGAAAGGAGAGAGAGAGGAGGGAAAAGGAAGGAAGGAGAGAGAGAGGAGAGAAAGGAAGGAAGGGAGAGAGAGAGGAGGGAAAGGAAGGAAGAGAGAGAGAGGAGGAAAAAGGAAGGAGAGAGAGGAGAGGGAAAGGAAGGAAGGAGAGAGAGAGGAGGGAAAGGAAGGAAGGAGAGAGAGAGGAGGGAAAGGAAGGAAGGAGAGAGAGAGGAGGGAAAGGAAGGAAGGAGAGAGAGAGGAGGGAAAGGAAGGAAGGAAGAAATAAGAGGGTCAGAAGGAAAAGGTAGAAATAAAAGTTGAATGAGAAAATAAGTGGGAAAGTTGAATGTAAAGACATTAAATAAAGTGGAGAAAAGACTTAAATAAGAAAGCATTCAAGATCCTTGGATAATATTTTAATTTTTAGCAGCAAAATGGACCAAATTTAAAAGGAACAACAGTGCCAGGTATTGAACACAGTTCTGTTCAATTCTTGGTAATTGTTGATTGCTAGAAATTGAAGCAAGGCATGCAGAAGGAAAGATAAATGGAAAAAAAATTGATAAAAAAATATTAGAAAAGAAGAAAATTACTGATGAAGTGGAAGTGAATGTCCTCAGGTCAGTCTGTGAGTAAAAGTAATTTAAGAAATACGTGTGGAAGGGACAGGATGTGGGGAGATGGCTATGGAGACAGCTATCTGGAGGAATTGTAGATTGACAACCATACTGGCATCTTATTGAGATCTACAAAAATCGAGAGTAAATAAAAAAAAAATTCCTATCAAGACAAGCCCCAAAAATGTTAATGTACCTGTGCCCAAGTTAATAGTTCAGTAGTAGAACTTTTAACTGATAATGCTAAGGCTGACTGTTCAAATGCTTTCTGTCATAATTTCCCAAGTTAGAAAAAGGTTCTTCTGTTTTCACTTATAAAAACCATTAAAAATTATCAGTTTCTCAATTACCAATATTTGTGTTTGTTTTAAAAACATTTGACTCAAGTTTAAACTAACATTTTAAATGTTGAGATTTTTAGCATTTCTTTTTACCTTTTAGCACTTTGCATTATTAATATTATTTCCCTTTCCACTGCATTCTTTTTCAAGGTCTCTCAATTGCAGTATTCTTATTGTTAATTTCGATCAAAGTTGTTTTTCTGCTGCCATAGCAGGATATGACAACACAACTATGAAATTCAAACGCTATTGTTCAAGGATCAGATACACCTAAATGAAGTCACATGAAGTGGGAAAGGTTAAAGATAATTTTTAGGAATTGAAGTTTGACAAATAGGAAGTTAAACCTGGATTTTTGGTGGAGATTTAGAAATAATGAAAAAATACTTTAAAAAAGTATTACAGCAAAAAACTCAAAGCAACAAGTCAATAGAATTATAAACACTTTTACAATTTGTTATATTTACAGTTTTTTTATTGATTTCCTATTAAAAAAAATCATTAAAATACACAAGGATTATTCTTGCATATTTTAATGATTTTTTTATAAGAATAATTCATAAGTAGCCATAAAAGGAACAAAAAAAAATATTTTGCAAACTGAATTATATTTTCATTTAAAAATAATCTCAAAATGGAGAAAAAAAAATTCTACTAAATTTAAAATCAAACAAAATTTGTTACCATTCTCTAAGATGGTGGCTCCTGAACAGGGCAGTGCACCTATGAAGTGCACCAGAAGAGGATAGCAGGTGAGGCAGAATGGTTGAAAGACAATCAAAGATTTAGAAACAGTTTCAAAAACTCAGATGCCAAAAATAAGTATGATTTCAAAATTTAAAATATTATTAAGGATTATCTGTAATTGCACGCAGGAATCCCAGTATAAATAATTATTGATTGATTTTATCATTGTGATATTTTTGCATTATATCAAGTATTAATATAGTAACTAGGGTCTGTAAATTGGAGGAGAGAGTTATCACTGATAATGTTCTGACTTCAAATCTCCCTTTAACCCTCTCTCTCTCTGGGAATTATGTGAGGTAGGGTTGCTTACACCTTTTTAGTTCTGGATTTTCAGTTCTGACAAATATCAAAAAAGGGAAAGGCTTGTGTTGATGAGATGAGAGTTTGTTTATCTCAAATTAGGCTTAAAGGAGATTATGCATCAAAAACAAGCTCATACCTTTCATTAAATTTGTGTACTTTAATCATATTATAAGTTATTTGTATTATATATTATATTTAATACACTATTAGTCATTTTTTTTTTCAAATGTGCTTTTTATCACATAAACTTTAGTGAGGTACAAGCAAATCTTTCATCCCAAAAATGCGACCCAGAGAAAAAAGGTTTGGAAACCACTGCTTTAAGAGAAAGTAGGAAGAAAAAGGTAACAGAAAACTGTCAAAAATTATCGGAACATCATAAGACTGATGCCAGGGTATTCAGTACCCTAGGTGTAGCCTGCTTGCATAACAGATTTTAGTTCTCTATAGAAATTTAGTGACATTGCAGAAACAAATTAGAAACAACAGTTCTAGAATTTTTTTAGTCACTTGGAGGAGTGAAAATGAAAAGTGAAAACAGTGTAGATATTGAAAAAAGTTTTGAAGGAAAAAGAAGAGAAGTGGAGGGGAGAAGAGCAGAGCGAGGGGAGAAGATAACAATTGAGGTTTTGTATACGATATCACTCATTAACAATATCATTCAATATTACTGGACAACACTGCAGTCATCCAATGACCCGTTCAATTCATAAATTCTTTACAGTCAAAGAAAAATATTTTCTACAAGTGACCTACTTTTCACATTTGATCAATTTATTACCCAAGAACAATATAAAAATTAAGTTTCAGCCATCTTAAAATCATTTCAATAAATTAGAAATATCCAAAGTCCATAGCTAACAAGAAAAATACATTCTCAAAATGTTTTTGGAATAATGTTAAGTGCACTAAAACTTATTACACTTAAAATTATGATTGACATTATTTACATGTGTATTCTTGTCCTCAATATTGTTGCTATTACTACATTTTGCCTATTGTCTGACTTTCATCAGGCATATGCTAACAGACAAGAAATTTTGAACTGAACCCTTTATTCAATCTAGGGGTAGATTGTTTTCATTCCACTGCCCATTGCTTGCCTTGTTTTCATTGAATCCAAATACCCAGGCCCAGGAATTGAACTCACAATTACCATATCACCAAATACACGAACCAATGATCTAATCCACTAGGCTATTATTCCAGGCAATATATTTAGGTGGAGAAATTTGAGATTTAACGCTAATCTACCTGCTGATTAATGCTGCTGCTGTTTTTCATGCACTCACTGTTTCCGTTATAAAATGTTGCTGGTGAAGACCTGCTGTTATTTGTCTTTCTTGATTAGCAGTTCTCATATCATATTTAGTTCTAGGCTAGGCCTACTAAGGAGGTCCTCATAGCCTAGGATAAGTATTGATTCCTTCAGACATCTAACTCTACAGTGTTCCTCTGTCCAGTACTTTCACTTCATTTTCACATTGGTTCGTTAAGGACTACCTTTTTTTCTTCCATACATGATCAGCCATGCCTGATTTCATTTACTCACACCTCATTATAGCTTTTTGATGTTTCTCCAGCCTCACTTTAAGGGGATGGCCAGTTGCGCCTTTATATTCTTTCCCACAACTGTAAAGAATGGAGTACACACAGTTTTTGATTATGTTCTCACACGTGCAAGGCTTGACTCAGCAGAGATTTCTGTTTAGAGTGAAGCTATATCTGAATTTTATGATGTTGCATGAACTGCAGATCTTCTGAATTTCTCCCAATAAGCCTATGACTTAAAGCCTACAAACTGACAGATGTTTGATCCTCCTCCTTCTTTAACCTTTTGTTTCCAACTGCAGATGCTGATGTTATATTTACAGGGTAGTTATTATTCTGAAGGATATGCCTGATGCTGATCATTTCCTGTACGTATACATCTGGGTTGCCACATGATTTTTGCATGGTGTGTTAAAATTATGATTCTAGATTCAAACCCAAATTTAAAATCAAAGAACATTAATCTAATATATATATAAAATTTATGTTAGGATATTAAAACAAAAACATGTTAAAAATTGTTTAAAATTGCTACACATTTTACCATTATCTGAGGAGACACATTTGTAGTGTTGAGGCATAATTGTAATTGTGTAGTGATTTTTAACATGTTTTGTTTTAATATCCTAAAGTAAATATTTAGCTCTACTCTGTATTGAACCCTCTTTTAAATTTAATGAAACATACAGTGGAATTATATTTCATTTGTTCTCATTTTACCTGGATATATATGCATATATACAGATTTTACAAGAACAAAAATTTTAGCAAACAAGTGCTTTAGCTAGTTTATAATCACTGATAAAATAATCAAATTAAACAAATTCTTAGAAAATAAATATTATCATCATTATTATATTTAATATTATACAAATACCTACTATTTCATACTAGTTGCTTTCTCACTTGAAACAGTCAAAATTCTTTTCATTAGTGAAGAATATAAACTGAGAATAAAGTAATGATCAATATTTAATCACTAATTGTTTGTGAAACTTCTAAAGTTGATCAATAGTCTCATTTTACTCTTTAGTACATTCCAACAATTTTCAAGTCAGGAGATTGGCTTGGCCAATCTTCAGATGTGTAAGATACTCTTTCTCTTATATTTTCTTCTATTTGGAAAAAATTCCAGTCAACATTTGTCAGACACAAAATCAAAAACTGGGAAAAAGGTTAAATAACCTTTTTTGAGCCTTTAAATTCACTTTTGGAAACATACAACATTTTCTAAATTTCATTTTTGCTATCAACTTCATTTTTCTAATTGAGATTCAACTAAATATATATTTTGTTATAGACAAAATTAAATAGGATTTTAGCTCACAATATTTGTCAATTTCAAATATTTTCAAATTTGATTGTTCATATATCTTAAGAGTTTCTTTGATTCATTGAAAATCTTTCATCTTGTTGAGGTTTTTGGTTGCTCTGAAGAAACATGCTCTTCTGAATACCATTTATGAATTTTTTGTTCACTTAAGTAAAGGAGAAAAAAATTTCCATTTGGGATTTACCTTCCTTACACAGGAGAACAAATTGTGGATTTTTTCTTTTAATGTAAACATGTGACATTTTGCAATAAAATGTTAATTTTATTTGTTTGTAAATGAAGCTAAATAAATTTAAATTCTCATTTTACAAAGTCATATTCAAGTGCTTAAAACATTTGTGCCCTAATATTTTTCTCTCCTACTATTACCTATTATATTTTTAAACTAATAAAGATTGTGTTTCACCAAAAAAAGCATTGACCAGTGTATTATTGGCAGAGAATGCTTTTAAAGCAAGCAGTCTTTAAGCAACAAAACAAATTAAAAGTTCAAAAACTCC